GCGAGAGCAGGCGGCCCCCAGGCAGGCCCATGGGGCTGTCCCAGCACTCAAAACTCCTGCCCATGGAGGAGGGCAGACATGGCCAAGGCCAGGGCAGTGCAGTATAGGACCCCCTGGGGGTGGACACAGCGGTTGGGGACACACCATGGCCCTCAGAGCAGAGCTCAGCAGCCTGGTGGTTGCTGGGCAGTGCGGCTGCATCTGTTTATAACTCTGTGAGAGCCACAGGACTGAGTGCCAGAGTGGGCTCCCACGGACATGGCTGCGGTGAGTGAATTTCTGGGCATGGTGTCACTTGCCCAGAACAGATGGGGCACGAGGCAGCCCTGTCACTCAGCAGCAGTACCGAGCCCACAACTAAGGTTTCTGTCCCCAAAGCCATATGTCCTCGACCACTGGGCAGCATCCCAAGGGGTACACATGGCTCCTTCTCTGCTCCCATTCTCTAGGTTCACAGCCCAGCCTAAACGAGGCGATATTAAATCTTGCAGCCACTAAATCCATGCAAGTCAAGCATTCCCAGAACATCCTCTATATGTGGGCAGACACAGTAACGAAGCTGGTTCCTTCCCTGCTGGATGAGAAGAACTTGGCCCCCACAGGGGGTAAACCCAAACCCATGTGAATGTGCACAGAAGCCCTCTGCTCGGTCACTCCCCCACGCCTGGCTGCCTCCACTTCTCTCCCTGCCTCTCTCTGGCCTCCCCACAGCCTGTCAGGAAGGGGCCAGATTAATCTTTTGCCAATGAAATGGACCTGATTCATTCAGACCACACGGCCCTGCCGCCTGACCGGTCACTTCTGTCCCCGTGGAAACTCTCAGGCTCCTTCACCTCCACCCTGTCCTGTGCTCCCCTCTCTCCACCACCCCCCCTTCTCCAGTCCCTCTCCGCACAATCCCCCCACCCCCTGGGATCCCCAGAGCCATGCTTGCTCTGTCCCCCGAGACAACAGGGGGAAGGACAATGGACCCTTCATCCTCACGGCCTGTGCTTTTGTCTTGGGCCCTCCACAGCAACGAAGCCCTGTTCAGGCCCTCCTCCCTGGACGTGGCCCACGCTGCCCTGGTGAATGAGTTCTGGCTTTTTGGCGGCAACGAGAGTAGCCTGGGGTTCATCTAGCATTGTATCCGCACCTTCCCCTCCTCCTGCCTCCTGGGGCCGGAGGGGACTCTTGTGGCCTGGGGCCTGATGGACCAAACAGGAGAGATGCGCATGTTGGCCACTGTGCCCAAGTACCGTGCCCAGGGCCTCATCGCCCACCTCACGTATATTCAGTCCCAATCTCTGACCATAAGGGGCTTCCCCGTCTATTCTCACGTAGACAGGAGGAACAAAATCATGCAGAAAGTAAAGATATCTTTGCACCATGTCCCCATGCCCTGTGACTGGTACCAGTGGCACTGTGTCCCTCTGTGACAGGCCTGACATGGCAGTGTCGGGAGGCTGGGCTGTGTCTGGTGGTGTGAATGTGTGGGTAGAGACACAAAATAAACCATCGTCATGGTAAAGCAGTGGGTGCTGTTACATCCTGGGGAGGCGGGTGAGTGGTCACCAGACCCCCAGAGTCCCTGAGGCTTAGCAGGTGAAGCAGCCCAAGTCGCTCCTGCAGGCCCCACACTCCCAGCTCAGGGTGATATTCACAGTGAACAGGGCGCTGAATTGTAGACCTTGTACTTCTGAATCATAGATGGTGTTATAAACCATGTTAATCCAATTATAAAAACAATACAATAAAAGTGTCCTCCCTGGCAGTGCAGGGGGTTAAGCACCACACTAGGAAATAATCCACAGCCTCTGCAATATGAGTTTGATCGGTTGGCCAGGGAGCAACCCACATGTCGAGCAGACCTCTCCTGTCTCACCCACTGCTCCCTTCAGCAGTGTACTTCCATCAGTCTGCCTGTTCTGTTCCCCACTGTCTCTGGTGAATCCTCTCACCACCTGCATCTCTGGCCTGTACCACAGCTCTTGTAGGCATAAATAAATAAATCTTTAGAAAAAAATACAATAAAGAAAAAGAAAAACAACCCTTAGAATAGAGTCAGGCAGATCTCCAAGCCAGGACAGGATGTGCTGTGAACAGATTTAGTTCCTAAGAAGGAGTTTACTTTAACAGTAAGCCTAAGGCTGTGATGACAAATCCATTTGAATGAGGTTTCCTTCTGAATGGTTTTCACACTAAATGCGCTGTTTTAAGCTAAATTGTACCCCTACTCCCCCAGTCTTTACACTAGAGAGTTTTAAGTTGCCCCCTTCTTCCTGAAGTCACTTGTGGTCAGCTACACCTGCCCCACAGGTAAGATGCAGGAGAAGCTCAGACACTCTTCACCCTCAGGACCTGCCTCTGCATACAATGGGCTTAGATGAAATAGACCGGGTGAAAGAACTCATATTGATGGCTGTCTGCTTAATGCACCTTCTGCCTGCTGCAAGTACTGCCTGGATTCGTTGATTTTGTTTGTTTTTGATGAACTTATGTTTTGTTTTATTTTAAATTGTATTCTAACATTGGCTTACAACACTGTGTGTGATTTAGGGAAACAGGTTCTCATCTCCTCACCACACGCAGCAGCAAGCACCCAGAGCCCCCAGCACAGTCCACTGGGCCCCTTGTCCCGCCTCATTCTCCACCCCCTGCCTCCCCCTCTGGTAGTCTCTGTTCCACTGTCTATTTCGAGAGTTTATTCTGGTTTGGTTTTGTCTCTTCCTTTCCCCTTCCTTACATTCACATATGAATGAAATCATCCAGTATTTGTCTTTCTTCACTGATTGATTTGGCTTCCATAATCCCCTCCTGTCCCATCCATGTCGTCACCAACGGCAAGATTTCATCTTCCATCTTTCATTTTCAACAGTGTAGTATTTTTCTTGTGCATGTTACACTCCACATCTTCTTCACCTGCTCCTCCACCACTGGGCTCTAGCTTGGGTCCATACTGGGTTACTATAAATAGTGCTGCAGTGAACACAGGAGGGCATGTGTCCCTTCAAATCAATGCTTTTGTACTCGCCCAAGCACTCAGGACTCCCCAGTCTATGAGGATTCCCAGTCCACAGATTGGCAAAGTGAGACACAGAGAGGGTGAAACAGCCAACAAGGCCCATAAGAGGAGAAACACGAGTCTCAAACGGGGCTGCTGGGCCACAGAACCAGCCCACTAATCTCTCCACTTAGCTGCCCCCAGTGCACGAAACAAGGACTCAGAAGCACCTGCACTTGAACTGGAGCTGGAAACAGTGAGAGCTGAACTTCTAAATCTAGCTGGTTCCCAGGCATGGAAGCCCTATATTGGTTTATTCTTATATGAGGGCTGTTGTCACAGAGGACCACAGCTGGGTTGGTTTAAACCACAGAAATATCTCATCTCCCAGTTCTGGAGTCTGAACGGCCAAAATCAAGGTGGGGCAGGGCCACACTTCTTCTGAAATCTGTAGGAAGGACCCTCCCACCTCTATCCAGCCCAGTGTTGGCTGGCAGCCCTTGGCAGACCCGGCCCTGTCTTCACATGCTGGTCTCTGAACGCCCCTGTGCATCTGTGCCCTCAAGGGGCCATCTCTCCTCTCTCTCCCTGACCTGTCACTTAGTTGTGTTTAACCTAATAGCTCATGAACATTTCTGGATTGATGCAATGACAAGGCAGCTGTCAGAAGAAGGACAGTCTCCAGACTGACTGAGGTCCCATTGCTAGAAAGATATAGAACAAGGCAGGAACAAGTCACAATGTCCTGAAATGTTACCCCTGCTGGAAAAATTGGCACGGTTCCACTCCTAGGCACGAAGAGTCTCTAGAACTGTTATGGAACCCAGCCACCACAGCGAAGGGGCCGGCAGGAGCGGTGGCGTCCTGGCACCTGCTGCTCCACAAGTCAGTTGTGGCAGTTGTTCCTCAGAGACCTTTTATGTAACAGTGTCTTTCCTGGATGGTGGACTGGACCAATCAGGAGTGAGCTATGAGCTGATTGGTGCTAAATGGTCTAATCAGACAGAGGATTGAAAAATGGTCCAATCAGAATTGTGGGTGGGGCACTCTGAATAGTATATAAGCCAGGGTTATATATAAGAGTTATATAAGCCAGGGTTGGAGGGAGCTGAGAGAGAGACAACACCAGCTCCTGAATGGGAGAGACGATCCAGTCCCCAAACAGGACAGAAGGTTTCAGCCTCTGAAGAAAGAGGGAAGAATGTTCCAGCCACTGAAAGAAGAAGAAAGAAGAGGAAGACCCCATTCCTGGCATTGGAAGAAAGAAGGATAGAAGCATCCAGCAGCCAACCTCTAAAGAGGGGAGAAAAGACTGGGCCTCCTGACCTGTCCTGACATGGCCTGAAGGGAGCACCAAAGGTCCTGGGCCTGGTGTCTCCGAGAGCTATTTGCTGTTGGTGTAGCCCAACAACTACAAAGAGTTGTTAACACGGGGTGTCTCTGCCACTGCCTCTGAGGGGCCAGTAGTGACCATCACTATGTACAGCTGTCCAGCTCCCGGTGACTGGTGGCGACCATTGCTGACGTTATCTGGGTGAGGTAACCACCACTTGTGGCGACAGTAAGATCTTGGTTTCCCTTTTTGTAAAATAAGCCCCATGGTTGTTGCTCCTGGAGCCTGTCTCTTGCCCTGGTGTGTGCGGGTGAGACCCCACAACGGCGACCTGTTCACCTTTCAGACACTGTCCTTTGCTAAGCTCTAGCCCATAGGCCCCTATTGTGTGGGTGCTGATTTTGGAACTTTTGGCCTTTTGGGGCTTCTTGGTGGCTCTCGTTTCTCAGAACCCAGGCAGAGAGGTGGCCGTTCCAGCCTTCCATCTGGCCTCCTGTTCCTTTAGGCCCTGTTTCAGAACAATTTGGGTAACATGGCACTGATGAAGAATGTCCCAGAGATCCTGGAAGTTGGGGCCCTAAATATGTGGGGCCCTGCAGGAGCATCTGGGGCTGCTTCACCTGCTGAGCCTCAGGGACTCTGGTGGCCTGACGACCACTCACCTCACCAACCCAGGATGAAACAGTGCCCACTGCTTTACCATGATGACAGTTTATTTTGACTCTCTACTCATCCATTCACACCTCCAGACACACATGCAGCCACCTGGCACTGCCAGGTCAGAGCTGTCACTGAGGGATGCAGTGCCACTGGTTCCAGTCACAGGGCATGGTGAGATAATGCAATGCATAAGACATTTTCTGCATGTATTTGTTCCTCCTGTCTACGTGAGAATAGACGGGGAAGCCCAGTTTGCTCAGAGCCTGCTCCTGGTAATGGATGATGTAAGAGATGAGGCCCTGGTCGCGGTACTTGGGGATGGTGGCTGCCATGCGCAGCTCTCCTGTTTGGTCCATCAGGTCCCAGGCCACGGGAGTCCCCTCCGGCCCCAGGAGGCAGAAGGAGGGGAAGGTGCGGATACAGCGCTCGATGAACCTCAGGCTCCTCTCGTTGCCGCCAAAAAGCCAGAACTCATTCACCAGGGCAGCGTGGGCCACATCCAAGGAGGAGGGCCTGAACAGGGCTTCGTTGCTGTGGAGGGCCCAAGACAAAAGCACAGGCCGTGAGGATGAAGGCTCCATTGTCCTTCCCCCTGTTGTCTCGGGGGACAGAGCAAGCAAAGCTCTGGGGATCCCAGGGGGTGGGAGGGTTGTGCTGAGAGGGACTGGAGAAGGGGGGGTGGTGGAGAGAGGGGAGCACAGGACAGGGTGGAAGTGAAGGAGCCTGAGAGTTTCCACGGGGACAGAAGTGACCGGTCAGGCGGCAGGGCCGTGTGGTCTGAATGAATCAGTTACATTTCATTGGCAAAAGATTAATCTGGCCCCTTCCTGACAGGCTGTGGGGAGGCCAGAGAGAGGCAGGGAGAGAAGTGGAGGCAGCGCAGGCGTGGGGGAGTGACCGAGCAGAGGGCTTCTGTGCACACTCACATGGGTTTGGGTTTGCCCCCCGTGGGGGCCAAGTTCTTCTCATCCAGCAGGGAAGGAACCAGCTTCCTTACTGTCTCTACCCACATATAGAGGATGTTCTGGGAATACTTGACTTGCATGGATTTAGCAGCTGCAAGACTTTGGATCACCTGGTTCAGGCTGGACTGTGAACCTAGAGGATGGGAGAAGAGAAGGAGCCATGTGCACCCCCAGGGATGCTGCCCAATGATCAAGGACATCTGGCTTTGTGGACAAAAACCTTAGTTGTGGGCTCAGTGCTGCTGCTGAGTGACAGGGCCGCCTTGTGGGGCTGTGCCCCATCTGTTCTGGGCAAGTAACATCGTGCCCAGAAATTCACTCACCGCAGCCATGCCAGTGGGAGCCGACTCTGGTACACAGTCCTGTGGCTCTCAGAGTTATAAACAGATGCAGCCGCACTGCCCAGCATTCACCATGTTCCAGGCTGCTGAGCTCTGCCCTGAGGGCCCCGATGTGCCCCCATCCTTTGTGTCCCCCACAGGGGGTCCTGCACTGCCCTGGCCATGGCCACTCCTGCTCTCCTCCATGGACAGGAGCACTGGGCACTGGGACAGCCCCATGGGTCAGCCTGTGGGGTCGCCCGCTCACGCACTCGGTGCTGTCTACAGACCAAGCTGGTGAGAAGGCGGACGCCAGCCCTGAGGACACCCACTGCGTCTCGCTGTCCCCAGACTGGGCTGACACTGAAGCTGCCCCTGCATCCATACTTGTGGTGCCCCAGGTGGGAGCAATCAGCACCTGGGGCACCCACCCCTTGACTGTAGCTGTCTGACCCGCTACCAAGATCCACAGGAGAGCTGCCTGGGAAACTAGCCAGTGGCACACCAGCTCCCCGAGGTGCTGTGCAGGGAGTGTGACAGACCCGCCTGGGGGCCTCATTGCACTGTGTTGCTCAGGCTGTTCCAGCCCCTGGCCGTGACCTTCCCCCTCACAGGTGAGCATCATGTGTCAGAGGGTCAGCCACTTGCAAGTGACAGGCCCCATGGCCCCAGGGGTGACTCTGGGGCTGGCTGGTGGCCCAGCACTGAGCCCAGGTCAGGGCTGCTCTGCGCAGCAGCTGTTGCCCCACTTCAGGGAAGGCAGGCCTGGGACTCTGCTCTGTGCCATCACCCTGTGGTCCTGGACGGGATGCGGAATCTGCCCTCCATCTTGGTCATCGAGAAGCTTGTGAGGCTTCCCTGATGGAGCCTGTTCTGTGCAAGTTTGAGGTGTTTTCTCTCTGCTTCTCAGGTAAGTTGCACTTGAGTCAAAACCTGCCAGCAGGCTGAGGGTGTAGAGGTTGTCCAGGGAGACATGGTCATGGGGACATTGTTCAGGACAGGGCAGGGCCCACGCACGTCCTGGTCTGGTACTGACTTTGGATCTGCAGGTGTTGTTTCCAGTTGATGACTTCCGGTGAGGCCAGGACTTCTTGGCCCTTCCTGATGTCCTTGGAGAAGACTTGGTAAGTGTTGGTGTAGTGATCAAGGTCATCGGTCATCTCCTGTGGAAATAAGGGAAAGGGGGGAAAATCCTTCATATGTCACAATAATAATTTTTTTCTAAATTCCATTATACTGTCATGAAACAACACTCCATGATATTGATATTTTCATTGGTGTATAATAATTATTTCTGAATCATCTAAATCATGATTTCAAGGTAAAAGTTTCAAGTATTCCATTTCTGATGGAAAACTGCCACAGAAAACTCTCTTCATCCAATTATTTCATTAAAGTTTCAAATCAAGGTCACAACTTTTTTTGGGGGGAATCGCAAGGTGGATCAGAGAATCTGTTCATCCCTCCAATGACCCCTTACTTGCTCCTGGGGACGGACAACCACGGTGCTGAAGTTAGGCCACTTGTCCACCAGGACCTTGAGGTTGAACGGGTTTCCCTGGTTCATGTGGAAGACAGTCCCATAAACCTGCAGCATCCAGGAAGGGAGGGGATCAGAGGTTAGGGAGGGAGGGCAGAGCACCCCTGCACCATCAGGACAAGGCTGACATCTATGCACTCACACAACTGCATAAGAGAAATGGGTGAAATAGCACATTTCATTTATTAAAACTTTCACTTTTATTCTACTGAACTCAGAACATGGTGAGCCAAGCAGCTAGAACTGCTGACTACACTAAAGCAGAAACATGGCTCAGACTGTGGTTATTATCTAACACTTAAGAGTGGATGAAATTTTCTCAATGGGGCTCAAGCTAGAATTTAGTCCTAGATGATATGTGTATAAAAGAGCTGGTATACAGATAATCTAGATCAGTTGAGGTAAATATATATCTTTAATGTGTAACTGGAAAAAGGGAATATACATATATCTCATACCACACATTTTAAGTTGTATTTAGGTTCCACTAGAGTGTGTCCTAGTTCTTAAATTGCTGAAGAAAAACACAACCAAGAATGGTGCTATTCTTATGTTGCTTTCACATGGCCTCTATGGATAGGTTTTATTTAATCCTGAGATTTTGGTGAATTTAACTAAGTGGAGGGAGGTACTGGGAGTCAGTCACAAGACAGTGTGAGATACAATAACTTCAGACCAAGAGGAAATTGTAAGTCAATAGGAATCGACCCATCATTAATCTAATGATCTTCAAAGAAGATACTGGGGGGCTAACCTCTCACCTGGCAAATGTTCTTCTAGAGAAAACAAATTAAATGTCGATATATAGTCTCAGCCAGCTCGGGGGGAAAGCTCTGGGCAAATTTCAAGCGCTGTGATGGGATATTTCTTGGAGACGATCAAGGGGATGCTTTTGCTTCTCTCATTTAAAGTTTATTGAGATATCTGGCTTACAACATTGAATATCACTTAGAGATACAGGACACCCCCTCTGGGGTCACCTCACCACACACACCTTTGGAGCCCCAGAGCAGAGCACAAGGCCGCTCTGGGCCCTGGCAAGCCCCTGCGCTCCCCAGAGCATGTAGCTCACTGAGCCACCGTGGCCAGACCCCGCACTGAGCCTCCGTCTCCTCCACAGATGGGCACTTGAGAGCAGATCTTGGAGGGCAATAAGCAAACTAGATGAGAGGAAACTCTCAACAGAGCCTGGTGCAATGTGGGTGCTCAATGCATGTTCGTCTCTTTTCCTCCTCATGGAAGGAATTTCTCCTCTCACTGCCTACAGATTTATCCATTGTCACCTTCAAGGATTCAGGGAGGCTCTTGCTCAAGGCTTTCTCCAGCATCTGCAGCATCTGGGCACCTTGCAATGGGAACATCGTGGAAGACGCCTTAGCCTAGAGAGACAACAAAGAGAGAGGTGGGGATGGAGGTGCTGGAGGAGACTCTGGATGAGAGAAAATTCTGTGCTAATGGCAGAGCTTCTTTACTGGGTCTGCATCAGTGTCACCTTCCCTCAAGTCCTTAGCAAGTCCAAGGAAGGAGGAGACGGGCAGGGAGTGCTGGGTCTGGTGGAGAGGCACATTCTGAATCGTCACTTTCCTTTCTTAGAAGCTCAGGGAGTTCTAGCACCAGCGTTGCTTTAGATTAGCTAGCATACTTTAAAATAGATATACTACCATCTTTTGAAATTTTCAGTGATTCTCCATACTCTGTTAATAAGAAGCTGGGTAAACTTAGGAAAGGAACTTAACCTCTCTGTGCTTTCGTTCTTCAAGGTGGCTGGGATCATAGCACTACCAAAGTCACAGAAATTCTGAAGATTAAATGACTTAATATTGATATATGAAATGCACACCTCATTGTATAGAAGAGTCTCTGTCATAGAGTAAACAATGAATATCACCCCTCTCCTGTCTTCTTCCTTTCCATCCATGCTCATCTGCTCCTCTTCTGCCCTCTCCTCTCCTCCCCATCTGAGTTAAAGTGCTACCTATTGAGTGATATTTTGATACATTGTTTTGATGTTGGGTATTTAGAAATGATCTAAAATGTAAACAACCTTCCCCCCCCTTCAAACTGCTAAATCATATTGCTGGCACTGGTGTCCATACAGTGTGAAACTCACTTTATTTCTGTGTCTTACTCTGTCTCTTAGCCTCTCTTTGGGATCTGTAATTCATACTGTACAAACTACCAGGCAGTGTAAAGTAGCATTTTTTACTATTTGACTCATTGCATCCAGTTGGGGTTAGTAAAACATTGCTTAAAATCCTACATACATCAAAAGCAAAGAAAATAAGCTGTGTCAAGTGTTCTGCTTTGCTCAATGATCTTTGGGGAGGACAAAGTCCTTCTAAGCAAAGGCACTGAGTTGTTCAAACCAGCCATATGGAACATTCCAGGCCCCATCGGTAATGAATAACTTCATAATGTTCAAACGGCAGGGATAGGACTGACAACAGGGTCTGGAGTTACTTTCCATCTGAAAAAAGACAAGACTAAACAATTGGTGAAGCAGCAGTGTTCCTAGGCAGTCATCAAGCAGCACAGCACTGTGGTCCTTCAGAAAAAGAAAATTAAAAAAGGAGAACTGTATCCACGAGGGGGCTAATTGTTTAAAGGCACTTTGCAGGCTGAGCTCAGCAATGGAACCTAGACAGAGTGCAGGGTTCTCCTTGGCTTGAGCACACAGACATGAGTTTAGTAGAGGCTAAGCAGCAAAGGTAGGAAGGGGAGGGAGAGAGAAATCTGAGGCTATCTGAGGAAGAGCATTTCTCACTGCTGATCTGCCCAACCACCAGAGGAAACTGCCATAGTGCTTTAGCCTAAGGTAAGAAAATAGAATAGGTGGGAATATTCCTACATCTCACAAGAGAATGGAAATAGCTTGTGTTCCCACAGGGTACAGTAGAAAAGATGACATAAGGGCACTGGGGAAGATGCTAAGGCTTAGCAGGAGAGTTAAGTTCAGATTTGTCAGTTCTGCATCCATCTTAACACTGCTTAGAAGTTTTGAAATGGTCTGACTAATTCCAATAACTTAATTGTGCACTTAAGGGAAATACGACACTATAAATAGCTACACAAGATGTATCAGCTAACAGTATATAATTGTCATTGTCTAGCAGCCAATAAAAGATAAGACATGCAAAGCGGAGGAAAATAGTATCCATACCCTAAGAATATACAAATCAATAAAAACAGACCCAGTGGAGATGCTTGCAGATCTGATGGTCAAAATGTCTTATTGTGGCAAATCTTCTGCTATTACAACAGACTCCTTCTCCCACCTCCTTGAAATAACCTCTGCCTATAAGATCACACATTATACAAAGAAATAAAAATAAAAACAGGTAAATGAAGAGATGTTGGAAGACCAAGCCAGACATTAAATTGCTATAATATTGCTTCTCATGTTAAAGAATAATGAGGAGGGGAAAGTGGAGATATAAACAAGACCCAGGTGGAGCTTATAGAGATGAAAAAACACAACGTGTGAAATGAGAAATGCCGTGAGTGTGATCCACAGATTCCACACTACAGTAGAAAAGATCAGTGAGGTTGAAGACACAGCCCTTGAACCTCTCCACAATGACACACAGATGGAAAAAATGATCAGAAACTCATTATCATTAACACGTCACCATCCTCTCCCCCAGATTATACACAAATTCAAATTAGTCATAAAACACCCTGAGTTATAAATGTAGAAAGTGATAGCTGATTCTAAAATGGACATGATTTCAAGGTTTACTAGAAAGCCACAGTAATTGTGACACAGGATAAACAAATCCATGAAAAAAAAAAAAACAGAGCCCTGAAACAAATTATATTTGTGGTCAGTTGATTCTCTACAAACATACTTAGATAACTCTGTGGGGGATGGGATAGTCACTTCAGTAAATGGTAAATGGTGCTGATTTTTGTTTTTAAGCAGGCAATGTGCTTCTTGAGAGACTCAAGTGGTTGTCAGTTCCCAGTGTGAATGTTCGAGCAGAGTCCTTGCTCTCTGGACTTCCTTGCCCCTCTGCTACTTTTTGCTCCCAGAGCCTTCATCTGATAGAACTCTCCACCCTACTGTGTGGAATTATTGAATTCAAGGGGCCAAAAGCAGTCCTAGAACTGAACACTTTTGTAGAACAGCAACATCAGGCAAGGTCACCCCGGGACCAGGATGGAATCCAGCCCACAAGCATGCCTGGGCATGAGCAAAGCAAGAGGGTGGTCTTACCTGCAAGAAGACCAAATACTCCTCTCCCCTGTGAACGTGTGGGCTGCTTCTTTACCCCTGTTCCTTACCACCTGTAATGGATAAAGGCATTAAATAGGATGGTAATGTCTTCTGGCAGTGTCTAAGCCAGAACAAAAACATGTTTTCTTGAACGCTTCTCCAAACACCTAAGGCACCTGACATACTCTCACCGAGAATCACCCGTTCCCTGTGTGGTGCTGTCTGTCTCCTTACAAGGGGCAATGGTGCTGATGCTGCTAGTTGTTCTGTGCAGTCTTAAGTGCAAGTGACTGGAAAACCAAAGTGTTTAACTCCAGGGCGGAGCTAGTGAACTTTTCTCTGACACTGCCTTCCAGAGATCATGACCTTCTCCACTGGTTCTTCCAGATGGTTCTGAAGGTTTGGACTTGCAGTAATGGAATCAGTTTTAGTTTTTTTTTTTCATGGGAAAACATATCTAGGTCTCAAATATTTTGGGGTCCTACTATTTGAATATGTGGGCAATGTGAGGACAGCTGAATACTCTTGATTTAACATCCGTGTCTCTTCACTTCCCTCCCTCTTTGTCAATGGCTGAAATAAATACCACGAGACTCATCTCCCTGCCTACCCTGCACAATGACAAGAGGAGCGATGTGGCCAGAACATGAAGGAGGGGTGGCCCCTGACCTGAAGGAGGGGTGGCTGACTTTTAGGAATCACCAGGAAATACAGAGGGAACTGTCGAACCCTCGGGCCCTGGTCACCTTCCTGGACTCTCCTGTGGATGCACCCACACATCAGACCACAGGGCATTTCTCCAACGCCTCTGCTGGACCACTGGCCTTTCTGCATCTATTCCTGGCTGGGTACCACTGCGCCTGCAGGCAGATCAAGGGTGTCCCTTTTCTGCACACTCATAACTCTCAGGCATCTCTCAATGGTAGAACTCATTTTGCTAGACTTTTCTAGGCAGTGAATTCCTCTGGAGCAGGAAGCTCATCTTATTTATTGTCCTGCACACTGTGCTTAGCTCAGGATGCAGCGCAGAACATGCCTTCAGTAAATGAGTGGCCAATATTTAAGCACCAGAAGTGCTTTTATTAACCTGGCTGTGTCTTCACTCCCCTTCCAAAGGCACAGGCTCATTCATTCAATCAGCCAGCCAGGCAACACACATGGACTGTGGCCATGATGTGCTGCATATGGGAAAGGCTTTCCATTCTTTCTACAAAGCCATGTCTGAAGACAAGCCCAGGTCAGGCTAGGGAAGGCTTGTTTTACATGTTCTAAGAGTATAAACACTAAACGGGTTTTATCCAGTGGCAACGCACAAGGAAGCTACATGAATAAAAGAAGCAATGAAGAGTTTGGTCAAAATCAGGGGGTGTGAATTTCTGTGGGGCATTACTCTGTATATTTCTGGAAAAGCACATCATCTGGGACCACCCTCCGTGGTACACACTGGAGTCAAGAGCTAACCCAGAGCCCAGGAAGAAGGGGGACAGAAAGCCACCAACACCAGGTCTGGGGAAACCAGCAGAACTGGGCACTGGGCACTTGTGAGTGGACCTCAGGACCTTTGACCCAGTCATTCCAGAAGCTGAAATTCAGTCAAAAGAAACATTTCACAAGAACATTTCACAAGAAGAGAAAAGCTCTGAACAGAGTTGGGAAAAGCCACCCAGACATAAACAGTGGCCAGAACCCCCGTGTCCCGCAGGGGGACGGTGACAGGAAAGAGGGACGGTGCAGGGGGCAGCGCCAGCGGCTCCATCACGCTCTGCAGCAGGAGCCTGGAAAAGTGGCTGCACCAAGTCAGAAAGGGCAGGACACCCACCGCGTCACCACAGACACTAACGCGGCGTGGAGGGGAACACGCAGACAGGCTGTGGTGGTGACGCGTAGGGGACTCGTCAGTGTGGTCACCGCGTGCCTTCAACCAACATTAACCTGGCCTGTGGCATCATCCTTTTTCGTCCTCTAACTTCTCTGCCTTGAAGTTCAATGACCGTCTTGTCAGCTGTGCAGGGGCGATGCCTCCCTTTGAACACCGGGGAAGGACTGACACGGCCATGTTTGTCCCACCCGTGACACGGCCTCACCCACCGCCCACCAGCGCCCAGCTGTCTCCCTGCATGCACTGTCCACGCAGGCCAACATCCCCGGGGCAGCAGCACAGCCCGGGCTCCCGGACAGGCCGCCCCCGTCCAGCCTGAGCCTTCCCGAGGCTGCAGCGGCCCCGCATTCTGAGCATGACACCCATGAGCATCCTGTCTCCTTTGAGTGGCGAGGAAGTCACAAAGCAGTGATTACCTTTTCTTGACACCGGCCCTCACCAGTAAAGCTGCGTCCGGAGCAATGTTTGCAGCTGTCCTTAGAACAGATGAAGAGGTACGGAGGACACCGTCCTCCAGCTGGGTCGGTTTTGCAGAGCTTGACAGGGCACCTTCTGCTCTGTCTCTCCCAAGATAGGGAGTGAGGCTCCTCATGTGGGCCATGCACTGAGCTGGCAACAATTCTAGGTGTTGGCTTTAGTGAAATCCAGCCCTTTCCTTTTGTCTCCTGTGGTGGAAACTGGCTGTGCAAGGTTGGAAGCTGGCGTGGAGCCACTGAGCGTCCCTTTCCAATCCCCAGGCTGCTCTTTGCCCCCAGATGTCCCACATGACTCTGCAAACCCACACTGTGGAACCAACACAGCAGACACTGATGTGGGGTCACATGGTGTGGACACCCCCCTCTCCCTCCCAGTTCACCCTCAAGTCCCTGCCCGAGGAGCCGGGGACAGGACGACTATGAGGCAGGTGTGATCTGCAGAATCGATGCCTTTTCTTCCAAGGTGGGTGGAGGGACGGAAGCTGCAGGAGCCTCTTGCTTTAGGAGACTTTTATAGAATCAGAAACATAGGCTCCACGTGACTAAATTTGATAGAATTTAAACCCCGGTCTTTTTGCCACTAAGTGCCCACATCCCCACATTAACACTGCTGTACCATCCTCAGGAAAGAAAGGAAGTTTTCATAGAAAAGTTAATCTGAGTCCCAACTCTACTCTGTGCAACAACTAAGGAAGGGAGTCTGACATTATCGGAGGTCCTTGTTCTTCTCATCCTTATCCATGTTTACCAGGTTCATTGCTGTTTCAGTGGAGGGAAGGAGAGACTCACTAATCAGAGGGCCACAGGGCAGCTGTTATCTAGAGAGAAAGTCAAAAAATCTCACGGTCCCCCAGTCTATGGCCTGCACAGATCAAATTTGCACATGTTTTTCTCTGTCACCTAGGGATCTTGTCCATCCCAGAATATTAATTCTCAATCTAGTCATGTTGAAGTCATTATAATCATTCATTGTACTTTCTCCAAGGCCAGAGCCCAAGGAAATGGCCCATCATTCAGTTCATCTTCCACACCGGAGCCAAGAGCACACACCAGAACCAGGAAAGCCTGTTCAGTAAATGGTGTTGGGAAAACTGAGCGGCCCCATACAATGGAATGCAACTAGACCACTGTCTCATTTTATAACCAAAAATCAAATCAAAATGGGTGAGAAACTTGGATGTAAGAACCTAAACCCATAAAATACATAGAAGAAAATATAGGCAAAACATTGCGATGTAAGCTCCAGTGATATCTTTGTGATTTGATCTCCAACAGCAAGGAAAACAACTGGAATGGCATTGGTCCAAAAAGCTCTTCATGGTGAAAGAAACTGCCACTAACACAAAAGACCCCTATTGAATGGGAGAAAATACGTGCACACCATACATCTGACTAGGGGATGATATCAACAAAGATCTACAAGAACTCACACAACAACAACAAAAATAGCCAGATCACAAACTTGGCAGAAGAGCAAAAAAAATGGGCACTTCTTCAAGGAAGACTGACAACAGCCAATAGGGAAATGCACACCGAAACCACAACAAGGTAACACCTCACACCTGTGAGAACAGCCCTTCTCAAAAAGGCCAGAAAACAAGTGCTGCCAAAGGTGAGGAGAAAAAGGACCCTCACACACTGTTGGGAATGTAGACTGGTCCAGCCCCTTTGGAGAGCAGTATGGAGGTTCCTCAAAAGCATGAAATTGGACATACCAGGGGCCTCCCTGGTGGTGCAAGGGGTAGGTCTCAGCACTGTCACGCTATCACCAGCCACTGTGGCATAAGTTTGATCCCCGGACGGTGGGACATTTCCTGGCACAGCAGACCTTTCCTGTCTTACCTGCTGCTCTCCTCAGCAGTCTGCCTGCTCTGCTCCCCACTCTGTCTCTGGTGAATCCTCTCACCCCACACCTCTGGCCTGTACCCCAGTTCTTGTATACATAAATAAATAAAAATAAATTTTAAAAAATCAGATATAGTATATGATCCAGGATTTGCACTCCGAGGTATATACCCAAAGAACACAGAACACTCATTTGAAGGGAAACATGCATAGCCGTGGTCATTGTAGCTCTATGTACAATAGCCAAGATACGGAAACAATCTAAGTGTCCAAAAACGGATGAGTGCATCAAGAAGATGTGGTCTACATACGTGATGGAATATTACTCAATCATTAAAAAGACAACCCCATTTTTGACAACATGGATGGAGCAAGGGAATATGCTGAGCGAAATAAGTCAGAAGGAGAAAGACAAACACCAGATGGTGCCGGTGCTAGATAACATTTAGAGAAAGCAAAGTTCAGATAAAGCCAAACTTCAAAACTAACCCTAGTTAGAGCTGACTCTGGAACCAAGGAATCCAGAGGGGTTTGGGGAGAAGCACCAAAGACTGTGGTGGTGGACCATGGGTGCTCTAATGGTGGGGGTGCTATGGTAATAACACCTAAGGGGGGATCCTCTTCGCCACCCAATCATGATGGTGGTAGACCAACATGATCTCGATTACTGTCAGCAGAATGGACCTCTACGAACCCCGCGTGGCATCTATTATCTCACAAATCTGCCTAACAACAGAATTGGGCCCCAGAAACCTGATCCATAGTCCTCTATCTTCCTCAGCCCTCACGCTCATTCTCGCAGTCGGAAAATTCAAGGGTCTTCCCAGCCCCGGATTCTTGAACTCGCCTCTGAACCTGCCGGGATTATCTCCCCAGCTGGTCCCCAGGTGTTGCTACACTCTTGGTTTCTGTCCCAAGAATATTTGTGCCTGTCTTCTAGCACAAGGACATTTACTTACAAAGTCTGTACTGTCTTTCCATTCTGTTTTCTCTACACAACAATTTGAACTTCTCTAAAAAATTTAGTAATTATTCACGGTTTCAAATGTTGAATCTCTTTGTCTCCACCAAGAAAAAAACACGAAATTGATGTCCCATCTACTCCACACCTCTGCATGCTCCTCTTGTACAGCTGAGTCTGTGTGTTTTCTTGAGTATGTGAAACACTTTACCTTGAACTTTGGCTTTCTCCCCAGCCACCAGCTGTGCTCACTGACATTAATCCTCCATCTTTGCTTCCCCAAAACTATGCAGGTCAGGCTGGGACCTTGTAGACATCTGGCATGGTGGTGACAGAGAAAGTCCTCACATTTCCAGAGAGTGACTCTAATTGCCCCTGGCACCTGTTAGAGGTCCAGTCTGGATATAGCCTTCTGCTCCTTCCTGGAGTCCAGTTGTAGCCCCAACAGGGCTTAAGTGTGTGGCTGCCCGTATGAGAGCTTGTTCCTTGAGCTCTGACTGATTCATTACCATTGGGTTCTGTTCCAGATCCTGTCTCAGTCTGGAGTTGGGGTAACACTTGCTCTGTAGCAGCAAGGATTTCTGGGGCTTCAAAGAGCATTTTGTCAGGGGAATGTGGAGCCAAGATGGTGGCAAGAAGCTGGATGAGTCTAAATCCTGTAATTCTTTAAACTGGTTCTGAGGCCTCCCCTGGTGGTGCAGTGGTTGAGTGCTGGGCTGCGAAGCTGCCCGCAGCCTCTGCAGCACTGGTTCAATCCCTGGCCATCAACGAGGGTTCCACATGGTACGCAGACCTCTCCTGCCATGCCCACTGCTCCCCTCGGCAGTGTACTTCATCAGTCTGCCTGTTCTGTTCCCTTCTCTGTCCTGGTGAATCCTCTCACCCCCCCCCCACATCTCTGACTTGTACCCCAGCTCTTGTATGCATAAATAAAAAAATCTTAAAAAAAAAATAAGAGTAGGCGCTTCTAAACTCGGATCCAAGGGCATATGTGAATTGAATTAAGGGGATTATACATTTTTTAAAAGATTTATTTACTTATGCATACAAGAGATGGGGTACAGGCCAGAGATGTGGGGGTTGAGAGGATTCACCAGAGACAGAGTGGGAAACAGAACAGGCAGATCTGCTGAAATACACTGCTGAGGGGAGCAGTGGGTGAGACAGGAGAGGTCTGCTGCGCCATGTGGGTTGCTCCCTGCCCATCCGGGGATCGAACTCGTGCTGCAGAGGTTGTGGATTGCTTCATAGTGCAGTGCTTAACCCCTTGCACCACCAGGGAGGCCCGGATCATACATTTTTAAAATGTGTCTTTATTTTCACTAATCTCTGGCTGAAATTTATCATTTTCTTCAACTGCTAATATGAATTCCAAACCAATGCATGTCAGCTAAATTTTGTTTGTATAATTATTAGGAATGCATGTTACTACTTTTATTTTCTTATTTCCCTTTTGAAAAACGTAAACTTACTAAGGCAGCTGACAAAGGTGCTTTGGTGGTGGGAGTGTTATGGCAATATCACAGGGGGTGGGGGTTCCTGTAATCCCCAAAACACAAACAATGATGTAAACCATAACGATGATATTTCCACACCAGCTTGTTTCTGAACATAGTAGCTATGACAGTTTATTCTCTGAGGCTGTAAATATTTATTCTTGGGGTGTGCGGAGTTGCTTTCTGTCCTTCTGGCAATGTGGGAATTTCTCAGAAGTAGAAGTGGGGGGGGTTGGTTAAATGCAGTGAGTTGATCTTTTGGTTGTAGTTCCTTAAACCTGCAGATCCAGCAGCCGCCAGCCAAGCCCTTCTGGTAAAGGCCTATGCTCCTTGGTATTCGTTATTGATTTATGGGCCAACTCCTTCCCAAGGACAGTTCTCAGGGGACAGAGTCAGCAGAAGCCAGGCTGACAGGGCACTTTTTCTGTGCACTGGGGTGAAATGGGTCTCACTGCTTAGTCAACATTGGGATTAGTGCATTTGTGTCAAGATAATTTGCCCTGGCCCCTTTGAGAATGTCACTAAAATGTGAATTTCTTTGATTGTGTGTACTGGCTCCAAATAATCTGATCAGAGCCTCCATCCAGCTTACGAAAGTGAGATCCTAATGCACAGCATAGGGATTATATAAAGCGTTATTGTACAATAAACATCAAACTTGCCAAGAGACTAGACTTTAATTATTCCCATCACAAAAAAGAAATGATTATTGACATGATAGAACTGTTAGCTCATGCTACCAGGGCGATATATTGCAATATCCAGAGGCATCAGATGAGTCCTCACTTGTACATGCAATACAGAGAAATAACAAGGGGTCAGTCAAAACCAAACCATCTGACTGCAAAATTGAGGCCACAAGAGGGGGAGGTTGGTGGAGTAGGGGTAAGGGAGCGGAGGGGCCCAGTGCACCCTGGTAGATGGGGGGCACTGGCGGCGGGCAGGGAGTGCAAGGGCACACTTGCAGATGTTTGAACCTGTAATGCCCCAGAGTGGATATGAAATGAAAACCTCCTTTCCTCCATAAGCATAATTTGGGGGAGAAAACAAAACTAACAAAAGATAGTTCACAGACTTAAGAAAATTAAGAAAACAAACATGTACCCGAGCCTGCATTTCGGATTGAAAGGCACCAAAGAGAAATAAAGATTCAAGGACAAAGATGGCATGTGCCTGCAAATAATGGATTTTTTGGGCCTCCCCGGTGGCGCAGCGGTTGAGCGCTGGTTTGCGAAGCTGCCCGCAGCCTCTGCAGCACTGGTTCAATCCCCGGCTACTCCCCAGCCACCGGAGGAGGGCCCCACATGGCATGCAGACCTCTCCTGGCGCCCGCTGCTCCCCTCAGCAGTGTACTTTGGTCCTTCTGCCTGCTCTGCTCCCTGCTCTGGCTCTGGTGAATTCTCTTACCCTCCCGCACTTCTGACTATACCCAGTGCTTGTATAAACAAATAAAAATAAAATCTTAAAACAAACAAACAAACAAAAAACCAAATAATGGATTTTTTTTCTACTTCTTAAAATGTCAGAAACCCAAAGGTCCCCTTGCTTTTCCTGGGTCTCTTGCAGGTTATGGGTCTGGCCACTTCTGTGTGCAGTGTGCAGATGTGGCAGATTCTGGGCAAAGCCCTGAGTCCTCATTGGACTCTGAGGTCTCCCTGAAGGTGACACTGGGAGAGTCACGAGGGTGAAGGGAGCCCAGATGCTTTTAGCAAAGAAGGGGAAGGGAGAATTAAAAGCCTTTGTGACCACACAAAATTCAGCTCCCAGACCCCTGTTCATGTCAAGAGAGCTGGGAGTGTGGGGCCTGCAGGAGCAGCTGGGGCTGCTTCACCTGCTGAGCCTCAGGGACCTTAGAAGCCTGGTGACCACTCACCCAAACCCCCCAAGATGAAACAGCACCCACTGCTTTACCATGACAACAATTTATTATGCATCTTTGTCCACACATTCACATCTCCATGGGCACTGCCAGGTCAGGGCTGTCACAGAGGGACACAGTGCCACTGGTTCCAGTCACAGGGCATGGGCACATGATGAAAAGATAGCTTTATTTTCTGCATGATTTTGTTCTTCTTGGCTACATGACAGTAGACAGGGAAGCCCAGTTTGCTCAGAGCCAGGCAGTGGGTATACAGGACGTGGCCGTTGAGGCCCTGGGAACGGTACTTGGGCACAGTGGCCCCCGCACGCATCTCTCCTGTCTGGTCCATCAGGCCCCAGGCCACGGGAGTGCCCTCTGGCCCCAGGAGGCAGGAGGAGGGAAAGGTGCGGATACAGCGCTCGATGAACCTCAGGCTCCTCTCATTGCCGCCAAAACCCCAGAACTCATTCACCAGGGCAGCGTGGGCCACGTCCAGGGAGGAGGGCCTGAACAGGGCTTCGTTGCTGTGGAGGGCCCAAGACAAAAGCACAGGCCGTGAGGATGAAGGGTCCATTGTCCTTTCCCCTGTTGTCTCGGGGGACAGAGCAAGCAAAGTTCTGGGGATCCCAGGAGGTGGGGGGATTGTGCTGAGAGGGACTGGAGAAGGGGGGGTGGCGGAGAGAAGGGAGAAGGACAGGACAGGGTGGAGGTGAAGGCGCCTGAGAGTTTCCACGGGGACAGAAGTGACCGGTCAGGCGGCAGGGCCGTGTGGTCTGAATGAATCAGTTACATTTCATTGGCAAAAGATTAATCTGGCCCCTTCCTGACAGGCTGTGGGGAGGCCAGAGAGAGGCAGGGAGAGAAGCGGAGGCAGCGCAGGTGTGGGGGAATGGCCGAGCAGAAGGCTTCTGTGCACACTCACATGGGTTTGGGTTTGCCCCCCGTGGGGGCCAAGTTCTTCTCATCCAGCAGGGAAGGAACCAGCTTCCTTACTGTGTCTGCCCACATATAGAGGATGTTCTGGGAATGCTTGACTTGGAGGGATTTAGCGGCTGCAAGATTTAATATCACCTCGTTGAGGCTGGACTGTGAACCTAGAGGGTGGGAGCAGAGAAGGAGCCATGTGCACCCCAGGAAGCTGCCAGTGGCGGGGGGAAGGCAGTGATCTGGCTTTGTGGACAGGAACCTTAGTTGTGGTCTCAGCACTGCTGCTGAGTGACAGGGCTGCCTCGTGGGGCTGTGCCCCCTCTGTTCTGGGCTAGTGACACCGTGCCCAGAAATTCACTCACCACAGCCATGCCAGTGGGCTCCAGCTCTGGTACACAGTCCTGTGGCTCTCAGTTATAAACAGATGCAGCCGCACTGCCCACCACTCACCATGTCCCAGTCTGCTGAGCTGTGCCTGGTGGGCCACAGTGTGTTCCCATCCCCTGTGTCCTCCCCCAGAGGGGCCCTGCACTGCCTGTTTTCCTTCTGTTTTCCTCCATGGGCAGGAGCAACGGGCACAGGGCTGCCCTGAGCAGCAGCTGTCGCCCCACTCCAGGGAGGGCAGGCCCAGGACTCTGCTCTGTGCTGTCACCCTGTGGTCCTGGACGGGATACGGAATCTGCCCTCCATCTCGGTCATCAAGAAGCTTGTGAGGCTTCCCTGATGGAGCCTTTTCTGTGCAAGTTTGAGGTGTTTTCTGTCTGCTTCTCAGGTAAGTTGCACCTGAGTTATAAAAGCTGCAGCAGGCTGAGGGTGTAGAGGTTGTCCAGGGAGACATGGTCATGGGGACATTGTTCAGGACAGGGCAGGGCCCACGCACGTCCTGGTCTGGTACTGACTTTGGATCTGCAGATGTTGTTTCCAGTTGATGACTTCCGGTGTGGCCAGGACTTCCTGGCCCTTCCTGATGTCCTTGGAGAAGACTTGATAAGTGTTGGTGTAGTGATCAAGGTCATCGGTCATCTCCTGTATCATCAGAAAAAGTGGAATAAGGAAAATTGCTTATATATTACGATTGCCAAACTTTTTTCTTCATTTCATCATTCTATGATATTTTTAAATTAGAATTTCGTGGGTCAATTAAATTTCTTCTGAATCATTTACATCATGGGATCAGAATGAGAGAGTCAAGTATTTGACTTATGAAGAAAAATTATAGAATAATCCTATTCTTTACCCATCTATTGTATGAAATTCAAATATGCTCTGACAGATATTGAGAAAGCTTTTTTTCTCTACTGACATCATTTTTCACAGAAGAATAGAAAATTCATTGACAAGGAAATGCTTGTATTACAATAAAAATTTTGTTATATTTGACATATTTGGAAAACACTAGCCATGAACATGATAGTATTAAACTTGGTTATGGGTAACATTGGAATAAAAAATCTGGCAATACCTAATGAAGCCAAAGAAAATAAAAACCAATTAACAATGCTTTCTTAAAAGAATATATAGCTAAACAATTTTCAGTTTCAGATAACAAATAATTGACCTATTTAGAGAGAACCCCTCAAAGTACCATGTAGCAGATGAGATTATTTGGAAGCAGGTGACATTGGGAAAAATATTACCACATTGGGCAAAATTAGAAATTTTTTTAATTCTTTAGGAAATATAGCACAAAAATACACTTACACATCAGCTGTGATACTAATAACATTTTTATTACTCAAGATCCCATGAAATATTAAATTCTGCTAACTTTATTTCAATTCAGTCTTAAGATTTTAAAACAAAGGTATTGGTATAAAAGCTTTAATATTTGTACTTATAAAAGTTTATAATTTTACTGGATGTTTTAAAATTATCTTAAGGTTTTTGCATTTAGTTTCACCAGTTTTTAAATATTTCCCTATAATGCATACATTGTAGCATTAGATATTTATTAGATTGTATATTAGATTGTAGCATTAGATATTTGTTTTTACAATCTTACTAACTCATCATCCTTTCACACCTTTGCAACTTTCCTTGCTGTTTTCTCTAATTACAATGTCCTCTTTTCAGCTTGACAAAAAATATTTATCTACCCAATCCGGTTCAGAGCAGCCTTCGCCAGCAAGTGTCTCCCTTCATCCTGTGACCTCCATCTCTACCATTTAACCTGCGATGGCTTTATCTTTCTGCGTGTTGAACATCTTCCATCTTGCACACTTCACGCTGGGGTTTAGTTGCTTATCTCTGCTTTCCTCCTGCCCACAAGCTTCTTTAAGACAGGGTCTTGCTCACCATCGTGCAATTCACTGCTGATCCCAGGGCTAACATGCCAGGTGCATGGGGCCCATAGCGAGGAGGATCAGAGAAGTGTTCATCACCCCTGTAACCCCTTACCTGCTCCTGGGGGCGGACAAGCACAGTGTCGAAGTCAGGCCACTTGTCCACCAGGACCTTGAGGTTGAACGGGTTACCCTGGCTCATGTGGAAGACGGTCCCATAAACCTACAGCATCCCAGGAAAGGGAGGGGTCAGATGATTAGGGAAGGAGAGAGCAGAGCACCCCTGTGCCATCAGGACAAGGCTGATGTCTGTGCTCACACAACTGTATGCGAGAAATGTGAGAAATAGCACATCTAGATTAAATAACCCCCATGCACTATATTTCTAAACCTTAAATGATAATAGCTTTTCTCACTACCCAATATGGAACAGACATGCATATAGTAAAATATCTAAACAAATAAATTAATGAGGTTAAGAACACCGCTCTTCATTTTGGGATTAAATCTTACCTTTGCCCACACTTTCCTCTAATCACACGCATAGAGATAAACAATTCACAAAAACAACATGATCTCATACATGCCATTTTCCCCACTGACTATACTATGGCCATATTTTTTTTTCATAAGCACGAAACATTCAACTGCTGTATATAGTTCGCCAGCATTCCATTATCCAGATGTATCGATATATGATTTTGCTTATCCATTGCTCATGGACAGCCATCAGCTGTTTCCAACTTTTCATTTTAACAAATTTGTGCTCCTAGAACATGCTCACATGACAATCTTTGCATGGACACCTGATGTTTTCTTAGACTCCAGAATGGTAATTGCTGGCTCAAAGTTCATGCTCACATCTAAAACTTTTTCAGTATATGTGCCCACCTCACCCTGTGGAAAGATTCCAGGATCTCCTGCCAACACTTGGAGGTGACAGTTTAGTGCTCAAGAGGAGGGACTTGGGGCCCCACAGCCTGGATCTAGGGGGGGGTCTTTAAAATTGACTTACACTATGGTAGTATGCACTGCAAAATCTGAAAATATGGGAAGTGATACTCCTTCGTATTTTCATGGTGTAATTAACTAAAACTTTTTATTTTTCTCCTGAACTAAGAACATACTGAGCTAGGAGTTATCCAGATAGAGATTGGCTCAACTAGAGTTGACGAGTACAATGAATTGCATTTAACTTCTAACACTTGAAGAATGGGTGAACTTTTCTCAACAGTTTTAAGTGTCGATTTCTAGGTTATGCTTCCATTAAAAGGACATGGCATACACATATTTTTAATTTTGATTAGGTGAAAATGTGTGCCTTGGGTGTGCAATTGAAAAAGAACAATAAACACCCAGACATAGTGAGAATTGGCTCTACTGGAATGTGTCCTAGTTCTTCAATTGCTAAAGAAAAACAACCAAGAATCATGCTATCCTCAAGTTATTTTTACATGGCCTCTATGTGTGTATGTTTTACTTCGTCCTGAGATTTTGATGAATTTAATTAAGTGGAGGGAGTTCCTGGGAGTCAGTCACATGATGGTCTGAATCGCAATAATGTCACAGCAAAAGGAAATTTTAAGTCAAAATAGGAATTGGCCCATCACTGACCTAATGAATTCAAAGAAAATGCTGGGGAGGGTTGGCAACCTCTCACCTGGCAAATGTTTTTCAAGGGAGAACAAAGGAAATATTGATATATAGTCTCAGCCAGTTTGGGAGGAAACCTCTGGGCAAATTTCAAGCACTGTGATGGGATATTTCTTGGAGAGGAGCAAGGAGATGCTTTTGCTTCTCTCATTTAAAGTTTATTGAGGAAACAACATTGAATAAGATTTAGAAGTACAGGACACCCCCTCAGGGGTCACCTCACCACATGCACCTTTGGTGTCCAGAGCACAAAGTACAAGGCAGCTCTGGGCCCCGGCAAGCCCATCTCACACCAGAGCATGAACTCCCCACTGAGTCTGTTTTCGCCACAGTGACATGCACATAAGAGCAGATCTTGGAGGGAGATAATGACAACTAGATGAGAGGAAACTTGCAACAGGGCCTGGTGCAATGTGGGTGCTCAGTTCATGTTCATCTCTTTTCCTCCTCTTGGAAGGAATTTCTCCTCTCACTGCCTACAGAATTGTCTATTGTCACCTTCAAGGATTCAGGGAGGCTCTTGCTCAAGGCTTTCTCCAGCATCTGCAGCATCTGGGCACCTTGCAATGGGAACATCGTGGAAGACGCCTTAGCCTAGAGAGACAACCAAGAGAGAGGCAGGGATAGAGGCGCTGGAGGAGACTCTGGCCGAGAGAACAGTTCTGTGCTAATGGCAGAGCCTCTTTACTGGGTCTGCATCAGTGTCACCTTCCCTCAATCCTCAACAAGTCTGAGGAAGGAGAAGACAGGCAGGGAGTGCTGGGGAAGGTGGGGAGGCACATTCTGATCCTCACCTCACTTTCCTAAAAGCTCAGTGAGTCCGGTCACAGCTTTGTTTTAGATTAATAAGCACACTTTTAAACAGGTATACTACCATATTTTGAAATACTAGTGACTGTCTAGTGATTATCTACCTGTAATAAGCTCTGTTACCTTGGAAAAGGCACCGAGCCTCTCTGCACCTTGGTTTCCTCACCCTGGAAGGGAGAAGAACAGCACCGTCAAAGGGAAAGAAGTTTGCAAAGACTAAATGAACTACGGCACTACATGCATAAATCAGTGTATGGAAGAGTCTGTTTCATAAATGAGCATTGGACATGTTTTATTACTATTTCCACTTCTCTATAGTCAGTTTTCTAGGGTTAGCTCTTAGTTTGGCTTTATCTGACCCTCTGTTTGTTTTCTCTATATTCCACATGTAAGTAACATCATCTGGTATTTGTCTTTCTTCTTCTGACTTAATTCATTTAGCATAATCCCCTCCAGCTCATCTGAGTTGCCGCAAATGGCAAGAATTTATCTGTTTTGATGACTGAGTAGTACTCGTGTGTGTGTGTGTGTGTGTGTGTGTGTGTGTGTGTGAATGTAACATTATCTGTTCTGGGGCACACTAGGTTGTTTCCATAGCCTGGCTATTGTAAATAATGCTACAATAACACATGAGTGTGTATTAGCTCCTCTTGTTGTTGTAACAAAATACAGCAATACAAAGTTATTATCTGACACTTCAAGGCATCTGAAGTCTAAAATGGGCCATGAGGACTGAAAGAAAGAAAGGGAGAGAGGGGGGGGAGAGAGAGAGAGAGAGAGAGAGAGAGAGAAACAAAGAAACAAAGAAAGAAACAAAGAAACAAAGAAACAAAGAAAGAGAGAAAACACAGTAGAACTTAGAGTCATGAAAAAGTACAATTTCTAAAACGGGAACTGCATTGGGTGTGATTTGCTATAAATTATATGTGGTAGAAGAAAAGATCAGAGAAGTTAAAAAACAGCCCTTGAAAATGTCCATAAGGAGACAGAAGGTAAAATAGGACCCAGAAGATTCCTTACAGTTAATATGTCACCATCCTATCCCCAAATTGATATACAGATTGAATTAGTCATAACCCCCCCCCCAAAACTTTACTGGATAAAGTGAAAAATTGCTTCTAAAATGGATGTGATTTTAAGGCTAACTAGAATTGTTCCTGATTTTCCATTGGTGTCTCCTCCCTTCCCTCCTTGTCAGACTGCTGGAGACTCATATCCCTGCCTCCCCTGCACAATGACAAGAGGAGCGATGTGGCCAGAACATGAAGGAGGGGTGGCCCCTGACCTGAGCTGCTGACTTTTAGGAATCACCAGGAAATGCTGAGGGAACCGTTGAACCCTCGGGCCCTGGTCACCTTCCTGGACTCTCCTGTGGATGCACCCACACATCAGACCACAGGGCATTTCTCCAACGCCTCTGCTGGACCACTGGCCTTTCTGCATCTATTCCTGGCTGGGTACCACTGCGCCTGCAGGCAGATCAAGGGTCTCCCTTTTCTGCACTCTCATAACTCTCAGGCATCTCTCAATGGTAGAACTCATTTTGCTAGACTTTTTCTTTTCTAGGCAGTGAATTCCTCTGGAGCAGGAAGCTCATCTTATTTATTGTCCTGCACACTGTGCTTAGCTCAGGATGCAGCGCAGAACGTGCCTTCAGTAAATGAGTGGCCAATATTTAAGCACCAGAAGTGCTTTTATTAACCTGGCTGTGTCTTCACTCCCCTTCCAAAGGCACAGGCTCATTCATTCAGTCAGCCATTTGCTCAGCACACATGGGCAGAGGTCATGATGTGCTGCACATGCTGCACACGACTTTGAAAAAAATCATGTCTGAAGACAAGCCCAGGTCAGGCTAGGGAAGGCTTGTTTTACAGGTTCTAAGAGTATAAACATTAAACAGGTTTTATCCAGTGGGAACTCACAAGGAAGTTCCATGAATAAAAGAAGCAATAAAGATTTTGGTCAAAATCAGGGGGTGTGATTTTCTGTGGGGCATTACTCTGTATATTTCTGGAAAAGTACAACATCCGGGACCACCCTCCATGGTACACACTGGAGCTAACCCCATGCCAGGAAGCAGGGTGGGCTGAAGCCACTGAGACTGGGTCTGAACCAGGCAGAGCCGGACATCAGGCACTTGTGAGTGGACTTCAGAACATTAGACCCAGTTGTTCCAGAAGCTGAAATTCAGTCAAAAGAAACATTTCACAAGAACATTTCACAAGAAGAGAAAAGCTCTGAACAGGGTTGGGAAAAGCCACCCCGACATAAACAGTGGCCAGAACCCCCGTGTCCCGCAGAGGGGACGGTGACAGGAAAGAGGGATGGTGCAGGGGGCAGCGCCAGGGGCTCCATCCCGCTCTGCAGCAGGAGCCTGGAAAAGTGGCTGCACCAAGTCAGAAAGGGCAGGACACCCACCGCGTCACCACAGACACTAACGCGGCGTGGAGGGGAACACGCAGACAGGCTGTGGTGGTGACGCGTAGGGAACTCGTCAGTGTGGTCACCGCGTGCCTTCAACCAACATTAACCTGGCCTGTGGCATCATCCTTTCTCGTCCTCTAAACTTCTCTGCCTTGAAGTTCAATGACCGTCTTGTCAGCTGTGCAGTGGCGATGCCTCCCTTTGAACACCGGGGAAGGACAGACACGGCCATGTTTGTCCCACCCATGACACGGCCTCACCCACCACCCGCCAGTGCCCAGCTGTCTCCCTGCACGCACCGTCCATGCAGGCCAACATCCCCGGGGCAGCAGCACAGCCCGGGCTGCCGGACAGGCCGCCCCTGTCCAGTCTGAGCCTTCCCGGGGCTGCAGCGGCCACGACACTCATGAGCATCCTGTCTCCTTTGAGTGGCGAGGAAGTCACAAAGCAGTGATTACCTTTTCTTGACACCTGACCTCACCTGTAGGCTGCGTCAGAGGGGTGTTTGCTGCTGTCCCGGGAACAGATGAAGAGGTACGGAGGACACCGTCCTCCAGCTGGGTTGGCTCTGCAGGGCCTGGCAGGGCACCTTCTGCTCTGTCTCTCCTCAGACCATGGAGTGAGGCTCCTCATGTGGGCCGTGCACTGAGCTGGACATTGGCTCTAGTGAAATCCAGCCCTTTCCTCTTGTCTCCTGTGGAGGAAACTGGCTGTGCAAGGTTGGAGGCTGGTGTGGATCCACTGAGTATCCCTTTCCAACCCCCAGGCTGCTCTTTGCCCCCAAATATCCCACGTGACTCTGCAAACACACACTTGGAACCATCACAGTAGACACTGATTGGGGTCACATGGTGTGGCCAGTCCCTCCTCCCTCCCAGTCCACCCTCAAGTCCCTGCCTGATGAGCTGGGGACAGGACGGCAATGAGGCAGGTGTGATCTGCAGAATCAGTGAGTCTCCCACTTGAGGATGAGCTTTGCTCTTTCCTGCCCTTTTTAAAGCTGCAGCTTACTTTCACAGCAATGACTCCACATGGGCAATTTTTAGTTTCACTTATAAAGAAAGATACTGAGGCTATGTGATGAGATACTGAGAAGTGCCCACATCCCCTATTAATACTTGCTGTGCCACCCTCAGATAAGAGGTTTCATAGAAATTATTCTTTGAATCCCAACCCCACTGTGTGAAACAATGAAGGAAGGGAGTTTGACACTATTTTCGGTCCTTGTCCTCCTCACCCTTACTTTTATCAGGTCACTTGACCCATTGGTTATGGAGGAAGAAGAGTCAGCTGGTCAGAGCAGCCATTGGGGTATCTGGGGATTATGGAGAGAAAAATTTCTTTAAATGTTTCCATGTTATTTTACTGAGAAGATGTTTGTACCTCCATCCCTACGCCCTCCCCCCCAACACACACCAAAGCCCAACTCTCATAGATGCTTCATTCATTCAATCCCCAAAACTCATTTTGGGCTGTTCTGCTTATTTTATCTTATATACCTAGGGTGTACATGAAGTTTGCCTCAATCTGAAGGCTACCTCCCAAAAAATACTTGATAAGATGATGTGAAAATATAGACAGACAATATATACTTTGATAACACATAAAAGGGACTGGAGCAAATCACCTCCATCACCTCAGGAGCTGATTTTGTTGTGAAAGAAAGATATACCCAGTGGGAGAGCCAGGAATCTCAGTGGAGGTCATGAAAGGGACAGAAAACCAGAACAGATTTACCTCCTTAAAATATTGAAACATGTCTGCCTTCCTATACTGTACAGAAAGATTTGAAATCAGAGAGTAAGAATAATGAATTCCTAAATCCATGTTTTTGAAGGAAAGGGCTATGTTTAGCATTTGAAAGAAAAAGCTGAGGCCAAACCAGGACAACAGAGGCTTCATCCCACTCCCACAGCTTCAGTCTGGAAAGTTCCCAGTCATAAACTTATACTTGTTAATGATGAAATAGGATGCTGGGCTCAGGACAATTTCCAGCCTTCTCCAGGGCTTTTATTTATTTCACTCTTCTCCAGCATGGTGGATCTTTACTTGTGAGTAGGATGGTAGGGTTTGTTCCCTTTCTCCCAGAAGCTGAGGTTCAACTCCATAGGCAAGGGAATCCAGACAAGAGCTGGGTTTCACTGCCTTTCTCATAAAGACCTTCTTTCTCAAAATCCAAGGGAAGCACTTTGGGGGTCTCCTGCCTGTAAACCTATTTTTGATGTTAGCACCTCTGGAAGACCCAAGAAAAAGAATCTGTAAGTACAGACACTTCTCCAAGGAAGACATGCAGATGGCCAACAGGCACACGAAGAAATGCTCACTCATCATCAGAGAAAGGCTAATCAAACCCCCCGTAACCTACCACCTCACACGAGTGACAGTGGCCCACACCTGGCCCAAATGACCAGAAACAACAAGTATTGGTGAGAATCTGGAGAAAAAGGAACCCTCTCATGCTGATGGATCTGTAGACTGGTCTACCACTATGGAAATGGTATGGTGTTTTCTTAAAATATTAAAAATAGACCTGTCATAGGATCCCACTATTCCACGCCTTGGTATCAGTCCGAAACACGCAAAAACACCAATTCAAAGGGAGCCACGCACTCCTATGCTCACTGCAGCCCTCCTTGCAACAGCCACATTACAGGAACCACCCATGTGCCCAAGGACATTTGAGTAGACAGAGAAGATAGATAGAAAGAAAAAGATAAACTCTTGCCATTTGCAGCAACATGGATGAAACTGGAGGTGATAATGCTAAAGGGAACTAAGTCAGAGGGAGAAAAATAAATACGGGATGTTTTCACTCATTGTAGATTAAAATGAAATATAACAAAGGTACAACAAAAGTAAACCAAAACAAACCCTGAATACCTGGCTATGGAATTGAAGGTACCAGAAGGGGAGGGTAGGAATGGGGAGCAAAATGGGTAGTGGGCCCAATGGACTATGAGGAGAATTGTAGTGATTTGGTAGGGGATGGGATGTGGTCCATACATCTGAACTCTAGTGAGCCTATACCCTTAAATTATATACAGTGTTGTAAACCAATGTTACACAACAAAAAATAGATACAATAATACATATAATTGCAAAGAGTATATATTTGTAGTGTATATGTATCTAATTTATGTATTATATATATGTGTGTGTATACATACACACACACACACACACACAGAGAGAGAGAGAGAGAGAGAGAGAGAGAGAGAGAGAGATTGCAATGTTGGGCTTCTATTCCACTGAAGTGGTTGTAGCAAGGAATGGATATCAAGCTGAATGTCTTGGATTTTGCAGAAAAAGGGAAAAGCTGTAGGGAAATGTGCTCAGGGTGGAAAGTTAATCTGCAGGTGTAGATGTGAGGGTCCCAGGGGAGGCAGGCATCCCAGATCCTGCACGTATTTTGGATCTGCAGTTGTTGTTTCCAATTGATGACATCAGATGTGCCGAGGAATTCTTGACAGTTCTTGGGATCCTTAGAATAGATGAGGTAGGTGTTGGTATAATGGTCAATTATCTGTCATCTCCTGCGGGGTTGGGTAACATGAAATAAACCCACTTGATTGTACAAGTGATTGGAAGTTTAGTATTTCATGACACTGTATTATTTCATAAACTTAAATACTGATTTTTTTTCTTGACCTATTACCATTATTCCTAAATCATTTAGATCATGATGCAAAGTCAGAGGTTTAATCAATTACTCAATTGATGATTTAGAAAAATTTGCTGAAGTAGATATTTACATGTCACATTACAATTTCAAATCAACCACTTGGAAAACATTCTTCTGTAATCCTGTGATCCTCCAGCAAAAGAAGCTATTACTATCAAAGGCAAATTTCCACTTTGAGAGAAAATTTTGCTCCATTCCAAAGAGCCTCAGAACAAAGAATTAAGAATAATACAGGACTGAAATTGACACAGGTAACCTTGAATTAGAATTTTCACTTACATATGGTAAAGATATATAAAATGCAGACACAAAATATCTGTCAAATATAACACACTATTATCTTAAAAAAGTAATTTGCATTCCCAACAAAATTGATGCACGGATATTCAAAAAGATTGTCTCTAAGTTCCCAACTAAGAGATGGGTCTATTTGAAGATGAAGAAAGGTCAAGAGAACAGTTACGCAGCAAGGGTAGACTATCTGGGAAGTGCAGCACAGAAAAGTCCTCATAACTCAGGGTTAGTATCACTGATAGTCAGTGCCTTCACAGAGTTGGGTGTTGTTTTCTCTGCTTAGAGTATGCCCTTTGCTCCTGCCAGCCTGTCAGGAGGTTAGTAATCTTCAAAAATAATCTTAGTAATCTTCAAAAATTCAGCTTTGGTGAGATGTACTCCAGGATGATTCTCTGATCCTCTCTCTGAACCCCTTTTATCTGTAAGTTTTAAGCATCTCTTGGCCAGTGCTACCTCCATGTCTCATATATTTTTGTACATTTTGATATCCATTTTTAATTTATTTACTTATGTTTTTTCTTCCAGGTCATGAGGTGTTTAGGCCATCAGTGATGCATTAGCATGTCTGCCAGAAACACTGGGGCACATAGCAAATATGAGCAGGGGAGGTATTCATCACATTTATGACAACTTGCCTGCTCCTGGGGGCCAGAGAGCCATGGTGTCTGCCCTTTGCCCACCAGGGCCTTGAGGTTGAACAGGTTTCCCCAGTTCATGTGGAAGACAGTCCCATAATCCTGCAGCATCCCAGGAAAGGGAGGGGGTCAGCTGGTGAGGGAGGAAGGACAGAGTCTCCCCTGGGAATCAGGTGCAGGATCTAATAGGGCATCTAGTTTACAGTAATATTCTATGGATAACTCCTTATAAGCTAGATCATGGCCCCCTAAAACAAGAACAAAATCCAGAAACAAGCCACTTCCATGGTGCAAGATGCTAGGTCCATTTCTAAAACAACATCTCCACCTCATCCTAAATTAAATGTCATCTTTGGGCTTTGACAAAATAGAAACTGCTCTATTATTTGTTTCAAGGAAAAGTCATTATGGTCAGTCTTTCATCGAGCACTTGATTGTTTAGGCGGAATCAATTAAACATTAATGCCTTAGTTTGTCAACTTTGCCATTCTGGGCAAACTTCCACAGTTGCATAACATGGTTCGTGGAAGGGCACAGGAATATTTCGGTTCAGAACAGCAAAGATCAATGAAGAGACAGGTAAGACACTGCCATTCAGGTTGGTGTGACCATGGTCAAGTCACACACCTGAGCCTCCACTTCCTCATTGGGTCATGTATAGCACAGATCTGCTTTGCAGGGAAGTGGTGGGAACTAACAGAGATGCAAATGGATGGGCTCCTGATACAGAATGGGGTCTCAGTGAAGGCTCCCCCTGCCAGCCTTGCCTGGCCAAACATTGCTAGCCTTGATGAGTTTCATGAAAACAAAGGATAGCTGACAGACTTAAGAAAACTAAGATGTACCCAAGTCTGCATATCATATTGAAAGGCACCAAGAGAGGAATAAAGATTTAAGGACAACGATGGCCTGTGCCCGCAAATAATCCATTTTTTCTACTTCCTAAAATGTCAGCGACCCAAAGGTCCCCTTGCTTTTCCTGGGTCTCCCCTAGTTTATGGGTCTGGCCACTTCTGTGTGCAGCATGCAGATGTGGCAGGTTCTGGATGAAGCCCTGGGTCCTCACTGGACTCTGATATATCCCTGAAGGTGACATTGATAGAGTCACGAGGGATAAGGGAGCCCAGATGCTTTTAGCAAGGAAGGGGAAGGGAAGAATTAAAAACCTTTGTGACCCACACAAAACACTGCTCCTAGACCCTTGTGCATGTCAAGAAAGCTGGGAGTGTGGGGCCTGCAGGAGCAGCTGGGGCTGCTTCACCTGCTGAACCTCAGGGACCTTAGAAGCCTGGTGACCACTCACCCAAACCCCCAAGATGAAACAGCACCCACTGCTTTACCATGACAACAGTTTATTAGGTATCTGTCCACACATTCACACATCCATGGGCACTGCCAGGTCAGGGCTGTCACAGAGGGACACAGTGCCACTGGTTCCAGTCACCAGGCAGGGGGGCTTCATGCAAAGATAACTTTACTTTCTGCACGATTTTGTTTCTCCCGTCTACGTGAGAATAGACAGGGAAGCCCAGTTTGCTCAGAGCCTGGCACTGGGTATACATAACATTGGCCATGAGGCCCTGGGAACGGTACTTGGGCACAGTGGCCCCTGCACGCATCTCTCCTGTCTGGTCCATCAGGGCCCAGGATGCTGGCGTCCCCTCCGGCCCCAGGAGGCAGAAGGAGGGGAAGGTGCGGATACAGCGCTCGACGAACCTCAGGCTCCTCTCGTTGCCGCCAAAAAGCCAGAACTCATTCACCAGGGCAGCGTGGGCCACGTCCAGGGAGGAGGGCCTGAACAGGGCTTCGTTGCTGTGGAGAGCCCAAGACAAAAGCACAGGCCGTGAGGATGAAGGGTCCATTGTCCTTCCCCCTGTTGTCTTGGGGGACAGAGCAAGCAAAGCTCTGGGGATCCCAGGGGGTGGGGGGATTGTGCCAAGAGGGACTGCAGAAGGGGGGGTGGTAGAGAGAGGGGAGCACAGGACAGGGTGGAGGTGAAGGAGCCTGAGAGTTTCCACGGGGACAGAAGTGACCGGTCAGGCGGCAGGGCCGTGTGGTCTGAATGAATCAGGTCCATTTCATTGGCAAAAGATTAATCTGGCTCCTTCCTGAAAGGCTGTGGGGAGGCCAGAGAGAGGCAGGGAGAGAAGTGGAGGCAGCGTAGGTGTGGGGGTATGGCCGAGCAGAGGGATTCTGTGCACACTCACATGGGTTTGGGTTTGCCCCCCGTGGGGGCCAAGTTCTTCTCATCCAGCAGGGAAGGAACCAGCTTCTTTACTGTCTCTAGGGACAAATAGAGGATGTTCTGGGAATGCTTGACTTGGAGGGATTTAGCAGCTGCAAGACTTTGGATCACCTCGTTCAGGCTCGGCTGTGAACCTAGAGGGTGAGAGCAGAGAAGGAGCCATGTGCACCCCCAGGGATGTTGCCAGTGGGCGGGGAGTTGGGGGGGAGGGTGGTGATCTGGGTTTGGGGACAGAAACCTTAGTTGTGGGCTCAGTGCTGCTGCTGAGTGACAGGGCCGCCTCGTGGAGCTGTGCCCCACCTGTTCTGGGCAAGCGACACCGTGCTCAGAAATTCACTCACCACAGCCATGCCAGTGGGCTCCGGCTCTGGCACACAGTCCTGTGGCTCTCAGTTATAAACAGATGCAGCTGCACCACCCAGCACTCACCATGTCCCATGTCCCAGGCTGCTAAGCTGTGCCCAGTGGGCCATGGTGTGTCCCCATCCCCTGTCCCCCACCCCGGGGGGTTCCTGCACTGCCGTGGCCTAGGCCAAGTCTGCCCTCCTCCATGGGCAGGAGCAATGGGTGCAGGGCTGCCCTGAGAACCAGCTGTCACCCCACCCCAGGGAAGGCAGGCCCAGGACTGTGCTCTGTGCTGTCACCCTGTGGTCCTGGAAGGGATGCAGAATCTGCCCTCTATCTTGGACATTGAGAAGCTTGTGATGCTTCCTTGATGGAGCCTGTTTTGTGCAAGTTTGAGGTGTTTTCTGTCTGCTTCTCAGGTAAGTTGCACCTGAGTCAAAACCTGCCATCAGGCTGAGGGTGTAGAGGTCATCCAGGGAGAAATGGTCATGGGGAGATTGTTCAGGACAGGGCAGGGGCCCATGCACGTCCTGGTCTGGTACTGACTTTGGATCTGCAGGTGTTGTTTCCAGTTGATGACTTCCGGTGTGGCCAGGACTTCCTGGCCCTTCCTGATGTCCTTGGAGAAGACTAGGTAAGTGTTGGTGTAGTGATCAAGGTCATCGGTCATCTCCTGTATCATCAAAAAAAGTGGAATAATGAAAATTGCTATATATTACGATTGCCAATCTTTTTTCTTCATTTCATCATTCTATGATATATGTAATTATTTTTATATTAAAATTTTATAGGTCCATTAAGTTTCTTCTAAATTGCTTATATCATGAGATCAGAATGATAGTGAAATATTTGAGTTATGATGGAAAATTGCAGAATAATCCTATTTTCTACCCACCTATTGCATTGAAATTCAAATCAGCTCTCACATAGAGATTTAGAAAGCTTTTTTTCCTCTTCTGACATCATTATACACAGAAAGAATACAAAAATCATTGACAAGGAAAAGCTTGTTTTGCAATAAAACTATTATATTTGACATATTTGGAAAACACAAGATATGAAAGTGATGGTATTAAACTTGGTTATGGGTAACTTTGGAATAAAAACTCTGGCAATACCTAGTGAAGCCAAAGAAAATGAAAGCAATTAACAATGCTTTCTTAAAATATATAGCTAAATAATTTACAGTTTCAGACAACAAATAATTGACTTATTTAGAGAGAACCCCTCAAATTATAGAATAGCTGATGAGTATTTTTTGGAAGCAGGTGACATGGGAAAAATATTAACACAACTGGTGCAAAATTAGAATTTTTTTAAATCATTATAAAATATAGTATAAAGATACACTCACAGATCAGCTGTAACACATTTTTGTAAGTTAAGATCCCATTAAAGATTGAATTCCACTAATCTTATTTCAGTTGAGTCTTAAGATTTTAAAACAAAGTTGTTGTCATAAGAGGTATTGGTGAGAGCGCACACAGGCACCTTATAAAACAATCAGGCTCCAGGGAACCTGCGTTAAGCTAAAGCAGATATAAGTTGATAGCAGTAAGCAGCTCCTACAGAACCCTTGCGCAGTAGAGACCCCTGCCCCCCTGCTGTAAATAACTCCAGCAGACCCCCTCCTGCAGTAGAGACCCTGCAGTCCTCGGACTCCAAATATTCTATCAGTATCCTGACCTTATAAAGACCCACCCTCCAAATTTCAAGTCGCAATTCTCACTCTGCAGCCCCCCGAGAATAGTCCCTCACAGACATTCCTCAAATAAAGCCTGCTTCAATCTGATAATTTAGAAATTATAAATCTGATAAAACTTTCTTTCCTAACAGGTATAATATTTGTACTTATCTAAACTTATAATTTTACTGGATTTTTAAAATAATCTTAGGTATTCTGATGTGTGAAACATTAACATTTAGTTGCACCAGTTTTTAAATATTTCCCTACAATGCATACAGAGATTGTAGCATTAAATATTTGTTTTTATATATTCCTAACTCACCATTCTTTCACCCCTTTGCAACTTTCCTTGCTGTTTTCTCCAATTACAATGTCTTCCTTTCAGCTTGACAAAAATATTTATCTACCAAATCCGGTTCAGAGCAGCCTTCACCAGCAAGGCTCTACCTTCATCCTGTGACTTCCATCTTTATCGTTTAAACTGCGATGGCTTTATCTTTCTGTGTGTTGAACATCTTTCATCTTGCACATTTCACACAGGATTTAGTTGCTTATCTCTGCTTTCCTCCTGCCCACAAGCTTTTTAAAGACAGGGTCTTGTTCACCATCATGTAATTCACCTGCCGATCCCTAGGGCTCACATGCCAGGTGCATGGGGTACATAGCAAGGATGAGCAGAGAAGGTGTTCATCCCCCCTTACCTGCTCCTGCGGGCGGACAACCACGGTGCTAAAGTCAGGCCACTTGTCCACCAGGGCCTTGAGGTTGAAAGGGTTTCCCCGGTTCATGTGGAAGATGGTCCCATAAACCTGCAGCATCCCAGGAAAGGGAGGGGGTCAGCTGGTGAGGAAGGAAGGGCAGAGTCTCCCCTGGGAATCAGGTGCAGGATCTAATATGACATCTAGTTTACAGCAATATTCTATGGATAACTCCTTATAAGATAGATCATGGCCCCCTAAAACAAGAACAAAATCCAGAAACAAGCCACCTCCACGGTGCAAGATGCTAGGTCCATTTCTAAAACAACATCTCCACCTCATCCTAAATTAAACGTCACCTTTGGGCTTTGACAAAACAGAAACCACTGTTATTTGTTTCAAAGAAAAGTCATGGTTTGTCTTTCATCGAGCACTCAATTGTTTAGGCAGAATCAATTAAACATTAATTCCTTAGTTTATCAACTTTGCCATTCTGGGCAAACTTCCATTGTTGCATAACACAATTCTTGTCAGGGCACAGGAATGTTTCGGGGTCATAACAGCAAAGATCAATGAGGAGACAGCTCAGACTGCCATTCAAGTTGGTGTGACCATGGTCAATTCACACACCTGAGCCTCCACTTCCTCTTTGGGTCATGGATGCACAGATCTGCCTTACAGGGAAGTGGTGGGAACTACAGAGAAGCAAATGGATGATACAGAACAGGGGCTCTGTGAAGGCTCCCCCTGCCAGCCTTGCCTGGGCAGGCGTTGCTAGTTTGAGGAGTTTCTTTCTCACCTTTAAGGATTCAGGGAGGCTCCTCCTCAGAGACTTCTCTAGCATCTGCAGCATTTGTCCGCCTTGTAAGTGTAACATGTTGGCAAGTACCTTAACCTAAGGAGAGGATGAAGAACATCAAAGAATGAGACCTACTGAAAGCCATGCAAAGACCCAAAGCAAACAGGCACTAAGCCTGACCTCAAGCCTGCCCTGTCATTTCCCTGGTGCTGGCTTGGCTGAACTCCTCCTAAACTCCATGGATGAGTAATTTTGGCAGAAAATACAGGTGCCTCCTTTTCAAAATTATTCCTACTACTTTTAAAACTATGAAATTTTCATTTTTTAACATCCAGGCTGCACTGGCTTTAACAAATATATTCCCTAAGAGGGCTGGGTCGTTCTCACCTTGTTCAGAAAGCCAGAGTAGACCAGGAGTGATACCAAGGAAATTCGAAGCTGGGTGGTGCTGCCCCCTGGAGCTGGGAGAGCCTGGCACTCAGACAGAGCCTCTCCTGCCCCGCCCCTGCAAAAGAGGGTGTACATTTAAAGGGGAAGGCCTAAGGGCTTCCCTTGCATCCACGTGAGGCCTGTTGGTCTACCTAATAGCTGTGGATCATTTAGCAAGGGAAGGCTCTTTGTTCTTTTAATGGGTCACTTTGACCCCAGGCAGTTTCTAGGAGACTTGGGTGTTGCCCATTGAAAAGACTGCTTGGAAGGAGGGGTCAGCAAGCTCACCTGGGATGGTTGTTGGAGCTGGCATCCCTCACCAGCCTGCCCGCCTTGTGGAAAAGACCCAACAAAGGGTAAATGATTTAACTCCTCTGTGCCCTGGAACAGACCCTTCCTTGAGCGGTTCTGACCCAGCAATTAGCACAGGTAAGTGCTCAGAACAGTGCCTGGACCACATAGTAAGCAATCATTAAGCTGTTACTCCTAGCATTATTACTCATTATTATCATTAGCAGAAGCAGCAGTCAACTCATGGTGCCAGCCAAAAAATTCCATGGGGTGACTTTTCTTCTGTACAAGACTTTGTGGTGCAGATTAAATGGGGTGATCTGTGTGATACATGAGATCATGAGTTATAAGCCTGTAGCTGAATAGCTGACAAGCAGCAGTATTTAATGTGTGTTAACTGTTTTAATTATTGCTATCCTTATGGAAAGTTCGATATAGGGGCGAGAATGAGGGCCCGCTGTTACCCTCAGAAAACAACTCTGTTCCTCATCAAACCAGTTCCCCCACCCGCAAGCCAGAACCTTTCACTTATAGCTCAAAGAAAATGTATCTTTTCTTCCTCAATCAAGAAAATAAAAGAAAAAAAAAGATTCATTCTTATGATACTTCTTATAAGGGAACAAATAAATGATATAGTGTAGCCATTTCCACACATGACTATGAGAATCACCTAAAAATATTTTAAAATGACTTAATCCTGCCCCTGCTGTTTTTATTTAGATTTCAGAGGAGCATGACATGTAGAAACCTGTATATATTTTAAAGATTTCCAGAATATTTTTGTTATCATTGATCACCTTCATTCAGGTATAATTACATTCAATAAATAATTGACCAATTTTAAGCAGCTACTTGGTTGTATTGTGAAAAATATATGTATTTTGTAATTAGCACCATAATGATAATATAAACAATTTGAATACCACCAAAAGTTTTCTAGTGTGCCTTTATAATCTTTCACCTTCCCTTACTCCCAACCCTTAACCAGAGTGAGTTCCCCGCAATTTCCCCCACATTCTCTACAGCAGTTCTCAAGATGATTTTCTTATGCAACCTTTCAGAAATCATTGATGTAGTATGTAAAATCCTCAACAACATCCTTCAACTCAGTAAAAATAGAAGATTTATAGGACTATTTCTCCAGGCAGGCCAAAAGGCTAGGGACAAAGTATGGTTTAAATGATACAATTCTCTAGTGAACGGACAGGGTTGACCTGTATCTAAGCCCCATTAGCCTGGGAACAGGCATCAATTCAACTCCTCCACCTGAGCGAATCCCCTGTAAAGGCTCATGCTTCCTCCCTCTACTCAGGAAGACTTGCCAAGGTCCTGCTGCTTTTCTTAAAACAAGGCCAGACCCCCTACCCTACTCATCGCCCATATTTGCTTCATAAAGGGTTAGCTCAACTAGGAATTCTCTCCTTCTTCTAGGCCAAGCCAATGTGTAAAATCTCCAAAACAGCACCTGGCCTAGAACAAGCTGACTTGGGCAGAACATTCTCAGGTCTGCATGGGTCTTGCTGGTCTATTTCAATTTTGCACCTTTCATCCCAGTTGTCCATATGTTAGCCCAGCTTGCTTTACCCTCATCCGTAGTTAGCTTGACCTGCTTTCCCCAGTGATCCCTTAGAACAAAGTATTTAACCATCTTGATCAAACATTCAGTTTTGTCTCCAAACAGGACCCTGAACTTCGACCCACCCTTAGGCTGAGCCAACTGTGGGGTAGGGGCTGGTGGCACTGAAGCCCACTGTGAACCTTGCTTTCCCTTCTTTGTTTTTTAAAAAATAGTCTTTTTCTGCCTGACCTTGCAGATGTTTGCAAATCCTGTGAGTTGTGAGCTCTCCCTGTTGAAATAGCCCTTCCTCCCCATTACCAAGTTCCTGCTGTGAAAATCCTGTCCAACAAAGTCTTCTCTGACCTAAGTCTGCAGGATTTTTTTTTAATGCATCCATACTTTGGTGTAACCATGTTATCAGTGAGCTGGATTTTTGTGACTGGCCTCAAAACCTGAGTGTGTATCTCCTCATCCATTCCCTCGCTCACTAAATATTGACTGAGATCCTAGCGTTGTGGGCTTGTAGGGTGTCACTAGCTAGGCTGAGCATCATTGCCTGAATTCCCTTTCTTTCGTGTTTCCAGCTAGGTGAGTCCACACAAGAGAGTCCTAGGAGATATTGGGGGGTGGGGCGGGGAAACAGCAGAAGCTGTGAGAACTAACTCTGGCCAGAGACAATGGCCAGGCTGGCCAAGGCTTCATGGTCCACTGGGTGCTCCCTCAGCACCTTGGTCATCTGGGCTGGGTGGGGGATGGGGAGTGGAGGGTGTTGACCTCCCTGATGAAGGAAACTTGAGCTGGTGGACACCTGTTCTACCAAGGTGAGAGTCAGCCAGAATGGACAGTCTCTGTGCCTGTGAACTTCAGCCTGTGCTATGGGTTTCTCTTGTTTCTGTTCTCTCCACTTTAAATCAATTTTCCTTTCCCAACTACCTTTGCTCTCTACTCTGGTCTTTGATGGGAAGAAAGAGCCTTGACTAGCACACCCCTGCATAAGGACAAACACTTCCAGGGAATTTGTAATTTCTGCTTCTCTGTCTGGACCCTGACTGATATCCTTACTCAGCCCTCAACTAGAACACATAGATTTTCTGTCCTCTCAGAACGCATGACCTGTGACGGGGACTACAACACAGACATAACAATAGCTGGTCACAGAGAAAGCACTAAATTAATTTCTTTACATACAGTGTTATAGATGAGCGGCATTTCATTTGGTGTATTTCTACAGAGATTTCATGACACTTGAAGCAACCATTTTGATGTAGGACATGTTGACTTGCTTCTCACTACTGTTTATTTTTATTACCAAATGATATTCCTAACAATTCCCTTCTCCTATCCCTGATCCTCACCCTTTTCTAAACTTTGCCCCATCCCTAGCCCTAAGGGTCTAGGGGTATCACATATATTAATATATTATATAAAGCAACATTTCTACACATCATTCCCTGTGTCAAATTAGAATTGTTAAAAGAACTGAATCATAACATGTTGACTAAAAGCGGTGGACAAGAGGCTGTGGCTCATCAAGTGCTTGTCGAATTCCCTGAGAGTTCACAGATGGAGATGCTGCTTCTCAGTGGAAGTATCTGTAGTTCTTAAAAGAGGCAGCACCAGAACCAGCCATGGAAGAGGGTGGTGGTAGATGCCTGTTGCTCTGCCCCCCAGAAGTGTGGGGTCACCTTTTTGTGGTAGGAACCAGGGAGGGTGTTAGCCTCCAATGGGGTTGACCTTGAGATTCACAAAATCCTATAGATTGCAAATCTATAAGATTTGCAAAAATCTTTTATGCATCCAGAGGAAAGTCAATATTGTCTAAACTGATTTCTTTACCTACTTTCCTCACCATTTAAAGTTCACGCCTACACTGTTTTTCGTGTCCATGATCTTAGCCCCTCAGTGCTAGGGAAATTGATTTCAGCTGGCTTCTCTGCTCACTTTGCCTTTCCAACTCTCTGACTACCATGTTCAAGGCCTTCCCTTCGGTGCGGCCCCTTGGGAACAGTGGTCTTTGGGGATGTTCAAGTAGACTTTACCTTGGAGAAATGGTACTGGTATTAGTTTCCATAGAGAGGCATCTTCCAGATCTCATTACATTTTTTGCTTAATATTGTTGCTTGAACATATTGGAGAATTCTTGGACAAATTAATGTTTTGGGTTTTTCATTTGTGTTCCTTTTTCCCCAGGGATTTTGCTTGTCTTTATTTTTTGAGGCATCATTGATATACAGCATCATATTAGTTGCCGGTGCACAGCGATGATTTGCTGTGAGTATATATTACATAATAATCACCACATTGAGTCCAGTTAACATGATGGTTAGTTGTCATCATGGTTTTCATTTGTGTTTTCCTGGTAATTAGCAATGTTGAGCATCTTATCATGTACCTGTTGGCTTGCTTGCTTTTTGCAAAAATTGTTTTTCAGGTCCTCCCTCTGCCCATGTCTAGCAGGATTATGTGCTGTGGTTTTGCTTTGCTTTGCTCTCCCTTGAGCTCCTTATATGTTTTGCATCTTAACCTCTTATCAGCTATGTGGTTTGCAAATATTCTCTCCTAGGGAAGGCTGCCTCTTGTTTTGTTGATTGTTCTCTTGCTCTGCAGAGAGACTTGTTAGCTTGATGTAGCCCCACTTGTTTATGTTTACTTTCATCTGTTGTGCTTCTGGAGTCACATCCAAAAAATCTTTTCCAAGACAACATCACGCAGCTTTTCCCCAATGTTATCTTCCATGAGTGTTGAAGTTTCATCTCCAAATAGGAAATAAGAGGCAGAGTCAAATTTGATGCCAGATTACTGGGTATATAATATTAATGGACCAAAAGTACATTTGGGACAACACACACATACTGAAAACAAAAATATGATTTCAATAAATGTAGTTGAGAAACAGAAAACTCAGCAGTAGGCCTCATCCATGTCAGGGATTTTGTCACATTTTGCTGGGCTGTTAGCACTAAAATGGGCAACATCTTGAAAAGGTCACACTGGAAACGTTGACACAGCCACTACAGTCTCCAAAGAAATTTAGTTTTATCCACAGAAAAGCATTCAATGAAGGAAAATGGACTCTGAAAAATACTGGGTCTGACGTCCACATCACAGGGACACAAGACCTTTCCTCCACTTCTCCACTGGTTGTTGAACTTGTAGAGATTCAGGGAGAGAGGACATGGAAGCTCTGTGCCCTCCCCGATACCTGGCTTATGACTCTCTTCCATCTGGCAGATCTGAGTCATATCCTATTATAATAAGCTAGTAACCTAGTAAATAGAAAAATTGTGAAGCAATATTTTGTATGGGAATGTATGAGACTCAAGCCTACTGTAAAGATAATTTATATAAATGATGGCCTAGGAGCCTCCCTGGTGGTTCAGGGGTTAAAGTCTCAGCACTATCAAGCTATCACCTGTCATTGCAGCATGAGTTCGATCCCCAGCCAGAGAGCTGACACACATGGCACAGCAGAGCTCTCCTGTCTCCCCGCTGCTCCCCTCAGCAGTGTATTTCAGTAGAGCCACCTGTTATGCTCTCCACTCTGTCCTTGGGAATCCTCTCACCACCAACCCCCACCTCTGGCCTATATCCCAGTTCTACTATGCATAAAATAAATAAATAAATCAAAAGGGGGGAGGGGAGGCTCCAGGTTCCCTGCCCCACCCAAGGGAGGGTGGAGCTGAGCAGCAAGAAGCTAGAGAAGACTGGGAAGAGGCTGCAAGGAAGCAGAAGGAAGACCAGGGGATGGAGAAGGAAGAGGAGACCTGGAGGAGGCCTGGAGCATGGAGACATGTGAAGAAGCAACTGTGCTTTCTTCTTGGGCTTGGGCTTGTACGAGGGATGTGGGACACCTGGAAGGAGACCCGTAAGAGAGATGCACATGAGAGACCCATGGCGGCCTTGGCATGACTTTGATTCAAACTGTTTTGATTTTGCTCCTTTCCTTCTAGTCTCGTCTGCCCCTTCCCGCCCTTTGCTATGGTCCCCTCAGAAGGTGCCTTAGGCTGTGGCAAGTCTCGGGCCTCCATGCCCCTGCTCCAGGCCAACCTTGTTTGGCTGGGCACTTACCCAGGAAGGGTGGGTGACCGTGGGTGTTTCATGGGGAAACTATTTTAACTATATCCTTTCACTCCTCTCTGTTGCACACTAATTGTATTACAGTTCTTTTTATTGAAATTCTAATGCACTTCAGCATTTGCCTTTATGTGACAGATGGCAGAACCCATTTAGTGCAGGAAGGTTTGTGGTTCCTGGCTACCCCTCACCCTGCCTGCTAACATTAGGAAAAGGAGATTGGTGCACAGGCACAGAGGAGAAACCACTTGGAGGCAGAGAAGACAGCCAACGAGAGAGGCCTCAGGAGAAATCAACTCACCTTGATCTTCAACTTGAGTCTCCGGTCTCATGAGAAAACAAATTTCTATTGAATAAGCTACCCAGGCTGTGGACTTTGTGGGCAGCCCTAGCAATGAGGACAGGGACTGTGATGTATCCATGTGTGCCTCAAGGCAGTTTTTCCATGAATTTGGTCAAGTATACGGAGTGTTCTCCAAGCTCACTGGGCTTGGACTCTCTCCTCCTGGGAGCTCTTGACTCGGACACTGTAGGGAGATTTTTCTTTTTTTTTTAATTTTTTTAAAGGTTTATTTATTTATTTAAACAAGCACTGGGTACAGTCAGAAGCGCGGGAGGGTGAGAGAATTCACCAGAGCCAGAGCGGGGAACAGAACAGGCAGACTGACAAAGTACACTGCTGAGGGGAGCAGCGGGCGGCAGGAGAGGTCTACGTGCCATGTGGGACCCTCACCCGGCGGCCGGGGATTGAACCGGTGCCTCAGAGGCTACGGGCAGCTTCGCAGCCCAGTGCTCAACCACTGAGCCACCAGGGGAGGCCCTGTAGGGAGATTTTTCATTCACTCTTTTCCCCCTTCTCATCCCCCACCCCTCCTTAATTCCTTCCCTCCATCACTTCTCCGCTCTTCCCTTCTTTTGTCCTTCTTTGTTTCATTCTTTCTTTCTCCATCAACAAAACCTTTCTGAAAGCCTAAAATATACTAAGCCCTGTCCTAAAAATTCAAGGATGAAAAGACATAGTGCTACTTTAAATGCTTGCAGTATCGCGGGTGGGAGAAACCTATAAAAAAAAAAAAAAAAGAACGATCATTCCAAGACCATCTGGTAAATTCCAAAATTGTGATAAGAAATGGAACTTGGAGTCCGGAGGAGGGATCCTTCATCCAATGTGGGGCTGGGGAGGGGGCCAGGGAAGTCTTCTTGAAAGTGGTGGATCTGGACTATGTTTTAAAGGGACTAGTATCACCCCTCACTCAAAAAGTATCAGTGGCTTTTAAAAAATCAAAATCTTCCAACTGTAAAAAAATGATTAAAAAAATCATATTCTAGGGCCTCCCCAGTGGCGCAGCATGTTGAGTGCAGTGCTGTGAAGCTGTCCGCAGCCTTTGCAGTGCGGGTTCAATTCCCGGCTGGCCAGGGAGATTTTCACATGGTGCGGCAGACCTCTCCTGCCTCACCCTCAGCTCTCCTCAGCAGTGTTTTCGGTTCATCTGCCTGTTCTGCTCCCTGTTTTATCACTGGTGAATCCTCTCACCCTCCCACACCTCTGGCCTGTACCCCAGTTCTTGTATAAATAAATAAATTTTTGAAAAAAATCCATATTCTGTACCTGGAATGACCTGGTTTGTGCAGTCTGCCTCACTGTGCACCCGCCTGTCATTCCTCCAAGCCCTGAATATCTGCTTTCCCTAAAGGGACAATGACCAGTGCCTCTGTGGTGGCCTAGGATTAAGTCTCAGCACTATCAGGTTATCACTGGTGAGGCTTGAGTTCAATCCCCAGCCAGGGAGCTACCCACATGGCGTAGCAGACCTCTCCTGTCTTGCCTGCTGCTCCCCTCAGCAGTGTATTTCAGTCAAGTCTGCCTGTTCTGTTCCCCGCTCTGTCTCTGATGAATCCTCTTGTAACAGGGTGGTTCCCAGGAAAGGGGGAGGTTCCCTGCCCCACCCAAGGGAGGGTGGAGCTGAACAGGGAGAGGAGAAGCTGCAGAAGAGACTGAGGAAGGAAGCAGGATGGAGCCAGGAGACCTGGAGGAGGCGCATGGAGCCTAGAGACACGTGAAGAAACTGCGCTTGTCTTTTGGTCGTGGACTGGGTGACACAGATGTGGATGAGACCCATGGGGAGGTGACAATGGCAGCCTTTATCTTGATGTTGATTTTGCTCTTTTCCTTCCAGGCTTGTCTGGTTGTTTCTGACCATTTCTGTGGGTCCCCACTGGAAGATGCTTTAGACTTGTAGCAGGCTTTGGGGCCTTGTTCTGGGCCAATCCCATATGGATGGACTTTTACCCACAAGGGGACGGGTAACTTTGGGTGCTTCATTTAGAAACTAGACTCTTTGCCTTACCTGTATTGTTTCCTAGTTTTATTAAAGTTCCTTCCCATTAAAGTCTCCTATGTTTTGTGTTGATGCGGCGGATGGCAGAACCCATTTAGAATAGGCAGGTTTGCGGGGTTTGGGCTGCCCCTCTCCCTGTCCTATAACACTCTCACCCCCACACACACCTCTCTATACCCCAGTTCTTCTACGCCAAAAAAAAAAAAAAAAAAAAAAATTACAATGACCAGAAGATGTCACTCTTTCCCCACTGTCTCTCCAATTAACTGCCTCTCCAATTAACACTGATTAACTAGGGATGAAATTTATGTATTGATAAAATCAGACAAAGTTTAATGGGAATTTTATTCTTTTAAAATAATTTTAAAATTGGATGCTGGAGACACTTTTCACATAAGTGGATTGAAAGAGATGTTTTATGATAGCATGCTATTAATGTTTTGGGTGCACAAAGTAACATGCTAAATATCCCAGTTAGGATATGTCAACGAAAACCATTTTAAACGTCACTTAATGACTTAGTTAGGTCCTCTTTCAAATTGGTGGATTATAAAGAATTATAAACCATCTGACTTGTAATGTTTTCTTTTCCAGTAAGCAAGCCATCTGATCTCACACTTTTTGGTAAGTACCCCCAAAATGTTCACCCAGATGTGCATATTGATTATACCTGCTATTCTTTTATGTAGAGGGGAAAAAATCTAAAAACCTATAAAACTGAAGATGATCATTAATAGATATGTTCCCAAAGCCCATATTAAAAATGAATTTTCTAGAACATCTCTATGTGCTAAAATGGCACGACAAAGGCAGAGAGATCGCCAAGTGAAAATTGTTATAGATAGAAAGGCAATTTCATTTCATTTGGAGCTTAATTAAGTTTCTTATTTAACATTTGATACATGACAATTTCCAAGTACAAGAAATTAATTCTGAATCTATAAAGCTATTTTTCTCTGGCTGAGGGCATTTACGGAATGTGCCATATGGTCACACAGTAAATGGATGTTCTGTTTTTAAGAATGTAGTTTAATCCACACTGTGGGAACAGACTGCAAAAGAGGAGATGATATAGAGTCAGTACTAAGTCTGGGGTTTAAAAGGTATATTGATGATTGTTAAATACATGTTTTGCAGTAGAAGACAAGACCCAGCTCCCACATATTAAATATAGTAAGCACAGACCAACAATGTGTAAAAAAAGAGAGACTTGGAAAGCAGGTGATGAATAATCGTGACTCAGATCTGAATCCTGCATCCAATTTATAAATAGAGAGGTATAGCAGTGGTTCTCAGCTGAGGACAATTCACCACCAGAGGACACTTGATAATGTCCAAACATATTTTCACTTCTCACCAGAGGAGGCACTACTGACATCTAGCAAGTAGAAGCCAGAGCTTTTGGGTTCAACCTGACAACAGCACCCAGGTTAAAAAACTCTGACTTGGCCTAAACAATTTACACTTTGCGCACTGTTCATGCAGTGATAATTGCTCCTTTTCATTACTTAGTGGTATTGCAGTGTACAACAATTTTTTATCAGTTGTTTACAAGCACATTTAAATTGTTCTCAGCTTTTTATTCTTATAAATAAATAAAGCTGTTATGAACATTCATTTACCACCTTTGTATAGACATATGTTGTTGTTTCCTCTTGGAAATGGATTTCTGGAGTGGAGTACTGGATTGTGTAAGAGCAGGGTTCACTAGTTAAGGGACGACCAAAAATGGTGATGGCCGAAAATAGAGGTGACCCAATTAGTCACTTTTTATAAAATTTTTAGATGTGTTTATTTATGCATACAAGAACTGTGGTACAGGCCAGAGATGCGGGGGTGAGAGGATTCACCAGAGACAGAGTGGGGAACAGAACAGGCAGACTGACTGAAGTACACTGCTGAGGGGAGCAGCGGGCGAGACAGAGAGGTCTGCTGCACCATGTGGGTTGTTTGGTGGCTGGCTGGGCCTCAAACTTGTGCTGCAGAGGCTGTGGATTGCTTCACAGTGTGTTGCACCACCAGGAGGCCCCAATTAGACACTTTTGGGAGTCAGATATGGATGCTTTGCTTGATACATTGTAGATCCTCAGTAAACTGTTGTCTTCCTTTGAAGATGGTGCAGGGTTCTTCTATCAACTACATAATGACTCTTCACCACTTCCAGGTCCAAACTTCTGGAAGCTCTGAATGCTACATTATGTGCCAACATGGAACTTTGCAGATGTGATCAAGGATCTTGAGGTGGGGAGATGATCCTAGACTATCCAAATGAATGGTAAGTGTAATCATAAGTGTTCTCACAAGAGGGAGACAGAGGACTAAGTGAAGGGGGTGGAAATAGAGGGAGGGCGCATAGTAAGGCATGGAGGACCCAGAAGCCAAGGGAGGGAGGCATCCTCCACAAACTGGGAAAGACCCAGAAACAGATTCTACCCTCAAGCTCCCCAAAGGACTGTCTTGCTAACAGCTTGATTTTCATCCCATCAGACCCACATTGAATTTTTGACTACCAGAGATATTATATGACACATTTTTTTCAATGAATTTTAGTGAGGTAATTTTGGTTTACATTGTATAAGTTTCAGGTGTGTGGATAATGTTTGTTACTTTACACCACTAAATTTGTGTCAATTTATTACAATAAATAGGAAGCTAAATGCAACATATATATAAAAATCATGTTGAAAATACAAAGTCAAGCCACATTACTCAACCTACCAAGCCCCTGTGATTAAAAATCACTCAGAAAACCAAACTTTCTCTGACAGCCACATCATTTAATTCAGTAGAATGTCTCAGAGCTCTTCAGAGGACAGTCAACATCAAAAACCATGATGTCAAGGGCTTTTGAAAGGTTCTCTGGAAAACTTTGTAGGTGGAAGAGAAAGATTCCAAAGGAGACATTTTCAAAGCAGATTTTATATTTTCAGACAGAGAAGCATTATAAAAAGCATGATTCTTCCATGAAAGAAGACTTCAAATAAAAAAACATGGCATTAAACACATTATTTTGACACTAATGATTAACATTTTAATTCATAGATTTCTGTCTCCATAAAGGAAAAGTGTGACAGCAAAGGGCCAAGCTTCTGATTTTCCTAGTGGAGGGGAAGGAGACAGAGATATTTTGCAAGGGTGGTCTTCGGTCGAGCACAAACCCCACATAACAACTGGGTGCTTTGCGTGTTATCTTGTTGGTGTTTAGACTGATTTTTTTCACTGATAAGAAAGGCTTTAAAATGGTGCCAATCAACAATATTTCTTGGGGGTGCATTTCCATTGATGCCAGCCACAAGGAGCAACCTTGAACCCAAAACTTTTCAATGTATCTTGGATTTTTACTTTTTATCCTGCCACATGTAAGTAAAATGGCACTTTTTTTCTGAGCCAGATACTTTCCAAAGTGATAACCAATTTCCCTGGCCAGGTAACATGTTACCCTGGCCTCGGTATTTAGGGACAGTGTAACCCATTCTCAACTCACAGGACTGTTCCATCACAATCCAAGAGACAGGGACCCCCTCTGGACCCAGAATGCCAAATCCTGGGAAATTCTGGAGGCAGCGTTCAATGTATTTCAAACTCTTCTCATTTTTCCCAAAGTCCCACTGCTCATTCACAAGCCCTGCATGGGAGGTGTCCAAGAAGATGCCCACAAAGTTTTCTTTCCTGTCAAGAAAAAAAGTACATTTATTCCCCCAACATTTACTAGATGCCAGGTTTGCAGAAAATAAATATGACACCATCCTCTTATTTCAGCTTAGAGGAGGAAACAGATGCATGAAAATCTCTTTCTATGTCTGCTTCAAAACGCCCCCAAATAATAGAAGGGGAGAAAATCCTATGCACTTTAGAGTTATTTCATACCAGCAAGACAGGGTGATATGGCACATCACACCATGAAGTCCAAGCAAACCCCAAGGAAGAGTGTGGGCACATGTTCCTGAAGCCGAAGGAGCTAGGCTGGGGCAGCCCGTCCTGGTGGCTGGATTGTCTTTGGGATCTACATATGAAACCCTTGGGTTTTGAATTCTATGCTACAGAATATCTAAATATACAAGATAGTGTTTCTTTCAACAAATATGTCCATAAAATGTGTGTCACAAGAAGACAAGAGCCACATCTTATGGCTTCATGGGTCCTTAAGTCCATCACTGCAACCTTTAGGGAGTATAAAAATGCAGTCTAAGAATCAGCAAAATAGGAGGAGAAAAAGGGTGAATTTCTGGGTGATCACCAGCAGGATTTTAATCCTAATTCTCTCCCTGCACAAGTTCTCTGAGGTTGACTTTTCTTATCCGTAAAATCAGAAAAACATCTTCTGTGGGTAGAGGGTTTGGGCAAAAGGAAGATCTCAAAGACGTTTTACCCTCTCCAGGAGGAGGAGGAATTTGTTGTTTTCGAGTCACTCCACTACAGATGAGTGAGGCTTTTGGCTCTTTCATCTGGACCTGACCCTAGTCTGCTTCCTTGCAGACCTGGAGCATCCTTCCTTACCCTTCTTCTGTGGTATAGCCAAACCCAGAGTGGCAAGAGATCAAAATAGGACTTTAGGGTTCAGGGGAAGGGAAGCATCACCTTAGGACAGGCGCTTCATTCCAGATTTCCAGAACTATAAGATTAAGTATTATTTCATCTTTATTTAACATTTTTCCCTGCGCCTCTGCTTCTCTTAAGGTCCCCACAGATAATCCAACTGTCCAAAAGCAGGATTTGAAGATGGTTGGCTCTTCAAGATAAATCAATCATATGTGTGTGTTAAGATTTTGTTTTTTATAATTAGTAATATAATCATAAAGTATAAATTAATAATGGAAAATAATTCTTCTTCCTTTGTTACCCTATTACCTAGTTACCTTCTGTAGAGGCAAATAGTAATGTAGTACATTTACTAACTTTCCAGAGGCATTCTATGCAATTTTAGAAGTGTACCTACTATGATCACATGTGTACACATGATGACCACATGCAGGTACACTGTTCTTTCCATCTTATGTTTTGTTTCTTTTTCAATTAGCAATATATTTTGGAATTCTTTCCTTATCTTAACAGAACTGCTTTATCTTTGTTCATGACTGCATATTATTCCAATATTCAGATTATATCGCAATGAATTTATTCATGCTCCAACTTTTGGGCACTTAGGTTGTTTCATATGCTATGTTGTCACATATGAAATTCCTCAGTCTTAACATCCAATTTGCTAATATTTATTTAATATACATATTAATTGATCCAGCCATTTCTAGGAATCCATTTTTCAGAAATATCATACAACTTGTAGAAGACATTTATTGCAGAGCTTTTGTTACCAGGAAGAACCGGAGATATGTGTGTTAATACGGGGAAACATAAGTGCATATATCCTTATTATGGAAATCTGCACAGCTTCAAGTATATGAAAAAGATCTTTATGAGTTTACATGAAAGATATATATATATTTATATATATATATATATATATCTCATATTGCTGAATGAAAAAAGTGAGGTACAATATACAACATGTGTGTATGTTACCAAAAAAAAAATCCTCACATGCACAGAATTCTAAAGTACAGACCAATGTTAAGAATATTTATACCAGGCCTCCCTGGTGGCACAGTGGTTAAAGTCTCAGCACTATCAAGCTATGGCCAGCCACTGCAGCGTGAGTTCGATCCCCAGCCAGGGTAGCTGACCCACATGGTACAGCAGATCTCTCCTGTCTCACCCGCTGCTCCCCTCAGCAGTGTATTTCAGTCGATCTGCCTGTTGTGTTCCCCACTCTGTCTCTGGTGAATCCTCTCACCTCCCACACCTCTGGCCTGCACCCCAATTCTTGTACACATAAATAAATAAAATAAATCTTTAAAAAAAGAATATTTATACCTAGATAGGGAGGTTGTGGGGAACCCAAGTGGGCAACCTTTCAGTTTTTACTTTATATGCTTGTATACTTTGTAAAGCATGTAGTATTTTTGTAGAAAATAAATAGTTCAGTTAAGATTTTTCAAGGACATCTATCCAATACCCTCTTAAGAGGACTTCTGTGAGACTTAGGTGAATTCATATATGTCGAGGACCTCAGCTAACAGGTCTTGCCTACGATCAGCAAACATCAGCTAGCACAGGGCCCCTCCTCTGCTCAGGCAGTTGTGGACCCCACCATAGTTTAGTTTAGTCTCAAATCCTACATTTCCAGGCCTTGCCCTTAGGGCAATTGCATTATTCTATCAGGAGCTAGCAAGCAAACAATAAAATCTCACTTGCTGTCTTCATCCACTTTAGGCATTTTTGTCAAGTCCACCTCATCATCACTTGTCCTGAGCTTCATCGGCAGCAATTCGATCACGAAGAGTGTGGTCTTTGTATAATCCACCTGCACTGACTTTGAAGCTGAAACCTTTCTTATTGCTGCGCTCAAGCTCTCTTGGCAACCTGGAGAGAGCAGAGAGAACACAGTGCTTCTCATCTTCCGTATTTGCTAGGGATGAACCACAGGGGATTTGTTTTTTAGCCCAGATCATTTACCTTGGATCTGGAAGGTTTGTTCCCAGTTGATAACCTGGGGGCGTGCCAGAACTTCCTGTAGCTTGTCCAGAGCTTTGGCGAAGATGTGGTAAGAGTTGGTATAATGATCCAAATCATTTTTCATCTCCTGATATAACAAACATCAGTCAGTTTACAACATGTTTTTGGCAAGTGCTGCAGTGCTAGAGACCAATTGTTTGATAGGCTCTACTTTTATGAGAAAGTTGCAGAAAATGGCCTTAGACCTTGACAAATAAATAGCTAGTGACACACAGAAGGTGGTTTCTTTCTGATAAGGCACTAAAGTCAGCTGCATTTTACTGGGTGGGTGAGTAGCTCTCCTGTCTAGGAGAGAAGAAACCAGAAATAGTGTTAAGGATCTAAAAGAGAGAATGCCTAACTTTGGGAAAGAAGCACCAGAAACAGGGTTGGGGTCAAGACTCTGGGTCTGGGAGAAGGCATGCTAAGCTAATTCTGACCCAACACTCTAGAGCTGACATGGCTTTTGGCTCTTGGTGTGCCTGTGAATGAAAACTTCTAGAAAGATCCATATGCCAGAGCTCACAGCAGTACCTGGAGCAGAGAGCCCCACCTGCACTGCCAGCCTGCTTACCTTCTGCTGGGGACACCCCCCTGGGGGTCGCTGCAGGTGGTGCTGTGTTCACATTGCCCTAATTACTATGTAAACAGAGAACTGGGGGAGTTAAAATAGCCCTTCTTTTGAATGGAAGAGATTTACTATACTCCCCAAATCTGGAGGATGAGGAAGATGTACCTGTTCTGTATACATGATCTTCCTGTCCATTGCTCAACTACCCTTCACTCCAGAGTAAAGGAAGCAGCAACTTTCTCAAGGTCACACAACTAGTCACTTGGCAGATTTAGATCTAAAACCCAATACCGACCAAGTATAATTTGACTATGTTTAGTTACAAGGAGAAAGAAATGTTTCCTATTCATTTCCAGCCACGGGCATCTATGCTGAGGTATATGGGAAAGATTGGCCAGCTGGGGTCCTAATGTCATCTACAAGACCTGGGTGGTTGGTTTTATGTCAATGCCCATGCCTTATGGAGCTGTCCTGCCCTCTTTCCCAAGCACCCATCCAAAACCTGTCAGGGGTGCCAGGGCTCTTCTCCCCAGCCTCTGGCTTCCTCCTCGTGCCTCCTTCCCATGCAGAGGGTGAGAGAAGGCCCAGGCCCAGTAGCTGGTTTGCTCACCTGTTTCTGAGGCCGAGTAATGACTACCTGGTAATCTGGCCAGGCATCCACCAACACTTCCATGTTGAAAGGGTTTTTATTTTTCATGTTGAAAATGACACCATACACCTAAGAACAACAAAACAAAACAGAAGATTTAACTTTTCCTTTGAGCTAGGGTCTTGGATATAGTATGGAACTAAGCCAGACGTAAGGAGAAATGTGGCAGAATACAATCATTGATTCCAGAAAGGTTTGGTGGCCTACTCTCTGGGAGCCAGCTGCCAAAGTGTTCAGGAAGGCAGATCCAGGAAAATGGCTGAATGGCTGGGAACAGGCTGCGCTGAGTCTCACCTGCTATTTTTTTTTTTTAAATTTCATGTCATTTCCCTATGTTTGTCATTCATGCCACACCATTTATTTGGCAACTAGTCTGTATAAGATTTGTGTTAAGTCTAGAAAATTCAAAGGTGAATATGACGTGGCTATTGCCTTCAGGTTAAGTCTAGAAGGAAAGAGATACAGGGTCTAATCATATCAGGGCATGTATTCTGGCAGAGGCCCACGGGTAATGGAGTGGGAACCCCGGAGGAAACGCACTACCTGTCCAGGCAGTGGTGAGAGGCTTACTGGGGATTAATGCTTGAATTGGGTCTTGAGATATCAATAAAGTCTTTCCTGGAAAAATCAAGAGTGAAAGAAGGCAAATGATTTCATGCAGGAGAAAAAGCAGGCGTGGCAGGTGTGGCAGTTGTGGCTGCACCTGAGGAAGTATGAGGAGCACAGTGGGGGCAGTCTGGGAGCGCCAGGGGCGTGTCAGGTGAAGATGTAAGAGGCAGGAGCAGAACTTTTTTTTTTCTGTTTGTTTTTTTTTTATATTTAAGGAGGAGTTTTATTAGGAAAAGGGATAGAAGAATAAAGAACACTTGCATAGACACAAGCAGACAGAAAGAGCTGCATGAGCAGAATTTTGTTTGCTCAATTACAGAGTGTGAACATTTGCCTCGGGGGTGATGTGATCATATTCATTTCAGGTGAATCTGGTCACCAAGCTGCAGAGGGGCTGGTAAAGTGGAAGACAGGAAGACGTCGTGGTAGACTGGAGCAGAGAAGGAAACCCACCGCAGAGAGCAGAAGCATGGCTGCAAGAGGTGTTTAAGAGGCTCCCAAAACAAGCAAAGTAAGTGGCTGCATTGGGTATTAAGCGCTTCCCTGCGGGAGTGACCTGACTTGACACCTGGCTTCCGTGTGCCCTGGAGGTCCTCAGCCCTGAGTCTGTCCTCCTCACTGCTCAGCCCTTTACCTTTAAGGACTCAGTGATGTGCTTTTCCAAGGATTCATACAGAATCTGAAGCTGCTGGGGTTCCTGAAGCACAAACATCCTGCGTAGCACCTTAGCCCCCTTCCCCAGGATTCAATCTAAGGAAACAAAACAAACAAAAATGCCTGGTGAGGTGAGAGCCGTGTGCAGGAAGAGGAGGAAGGAGAAAACACCCAGGTCACTGGACACCAGCGGAGGGAAAGTTCTTCTATTGTACACACAGGAACTGAAGCTTGGGCTGCAGCCAGATCTCGGGGGTCCTTGATGTTTTAGCACTAAATTCCACAGTAAGAAGAGGCATAGCGTATCTGGGGAGATAAATTTCCTCAAACATTTGAGTCAAACCAGACCACACATCTGAGCAATGGCTGTCTTTAGCTGTCCAGATGCAAATGAAGAATAATGTATTTTTTCAGAATCCGTCCCTACTTTGTTTCAGAAAGACTTTCAGTCAGATATAAAACTATGTGGATAACCACTCACTTACCCTCTTGATATTACTGATTTGGTATGGCAAGTATTTTACTGACTTTCTAACATGGACATTTTCCTATGTCTTTAAACACACTTTGAAGACATCATTCTCTTTTTATTTACTTAATTAAATTTTGATTGAGGTAATATTGGGGTGCCCTCATCAGGTATCACCACCGTAGTGCACCCACCACCAACTTACCCATGTCCCCCACCACAGACCACTGTGCCTCCTTCCCTCTTTGCTCTTAGCCCACCCAACGCTCCCCACCTTGCTTCAATTCTGAAGTCAGCTCTCAATTTTCTTGAAGACTAAGCACCAGTTTTCCTGCACCAGTTCCAGGTATGGTCTAAAATGATCGTTGCTGTGAAGCAAACTCAAAGTTCAACAAAAGAGAAATTTAAGAAAGGATATTCAAAGCCATCCGATGTCTCACGCCTGGGAGGCCAATGTCAGGTTTCTCTGAGACCCGACCTGTCCTCAGAGTTTGGGGCCTTGGTTTGTATGGGATGTTATATGCGCAGCAAGAATGTGTGATTGCTTTTTCTCCACAAAGGAGAGAAGACATTTCATTAATTTTTAACGTTTTCAATTGACTAACAGAGACAGGTTTCTAGCCAACCTAGTTAACTGATAAAGGAGAAGTACTGTGCAACTTCAAAGCCATCCCTTGATTTTCCTGAGCCAATTTAAGCAGAGCTGTCTGTGTTTGGGAAGATGTCAGGACCTCAGGTTAATTGAATTTCTCATCCTGAAAGCCCCCTGCACGCTTGGGGACACAGTAAGGCCATTATCTTCTGTGCTTTCTGGAACCACAAACACCACAAGGGCTGAGGCTGCTGAATTTCCCCTATCCCCCACCCCAAGGGTTTTTCAAGTGGACAAGAATTATTGTTCTCTTGACTCCAACCTCTAGAGGTGGCCCTGACAGGACAGAGGCAGACATTTTCCAACAGAGAAAAAAGTAGAATTTTCCTTTTTTGGTCCAGGCAGTCTCAGTCAACTGTCTGAGAAAAATATGGCTTTTCAACAAAAGAGAAAATGATGAATGGTGGGTTTCTGTGGGCACCTTTTGTGAGGGTAGGGGAAGGTTATGCCTCGTGCTATTACCCGCTGCCACCAGCCACAATACATGGGGTCACCCCTCAGCCAGCACAGCCAACTACCCTCACCACCAGGGGAAACATCTTTTCAGCTTATCTCAGCATCTCCAGGCAGTAGAATCCCCCACCTGATCCAACAGATGCCCCCTGACCCCCACGCTGAGTCCTGAGTGATAAAGACCAGAGAAGAGAAGGGGCCAGCAGAGGGTGGGGGCAGAGAATAGTGTGGAGAGTAAGAGAAGTATCTCAGAAATCATACTAGGAGACACTTTCTTTAAAGAAGGGAGTGGCCGGGGGACCCCAATGTTGAGAAGCGCCGAGAGACGAGGAGCAAGAACAGCGGTGCCCTTGGATGCAGGAATTGAGCACTGGTTTGATAAGAGACACTTCAAAGCCTGACAGGAAGAAACCCACTCAGGGTTTGAATGATTTGTGATGTTAGTGGGAGAAAGCTCCGACTAGGAGCTCATAGCTTCTTTAGAGTTTTCTAGGCTAGAGCAGAAAGAAAGATAAAGCACAAGGTATTTGAGAATGTGGGAATGAGAAACTTCAGTGAATTTAAATTGTGGGGTTTGGTAGAGAAGGAAGGATGTAAAGTGGACACGGGTCAAGCAGGACAGGAGGGAGTGAGCCAGGGGTTACAGCACGTTTTATGGTCTGAGAATAGTGATGGGTAGAGCCTGGGGGGGTGTGTTCAGAGGTTACAAAAGTAGAGATCCGAAACTAGACCATTTAAGGTGAGGACTTCAGTTGAAGATCAGGTCTGGATGTACGGTTGTTGTCTTTCATTTCAAGTCCAAAGAGTAGGAGGCATTAAGGGGCTGGGAGTTTCTGGGGTTATACTCAGCACCAGGATGTGGCAGGAGTTTGATGGAGAAAAAGGCAGTTAGCTAGATTTTTGTATCAATAGATGCAGAGAGTGACAGGAACAGGAAAAGGGTCATCTTAACCATGGACATAGAACTCAAAGAAAGAACTAATTTTCTGTGCAAATGAACAAATAATGCCACCGAAGTATAGAAGGGAGGCCAGGAGAATGCTGATTCTTAGCTTTACTCACAGTATTACCTTGGGCATTTGAAACCTGCATGGGAGTTCACATATATGGATCATTTTTTTAAGTTCAAGGAGAGGATTTGGGCAGCTTACCAGTTCAAAATAACGCACACTGGCTTTCTTGATTCCTAAATAACTGCTAGCTTCAGGGAACTAACAGTTTTGAGCATTTGAGTCTTATTAGGACACTGGCCAGTGTTTCCTCTGAGGATCTACAGGTAGATAAAAAGAATAAATTCAAATTATTTAAAAACCAGAGTGCTGATTAATTGTAGGCTGAGAGGGAAAAAGACTGGCTGTCCAAATTCATTCTGTTTACCTGAAGTTTCTTCTATAAGCCTGTAGAGATACCACCTTCTGCAGCTGCTCACATAGGAACAGAAGCTTCTGGGACCACCACCTTAGAGACTCATCCACACTCACTTGGGCTGATTTAGGTTGTCACTCTCTAGCATGAAGCTGCAAGAAGTCATAGGTTCCTATCAAGTAAACCGGAGGCTGTGTGCATTGGCTCAAAGCGGGAGACCATGAGGACGAGGGGAAATCTGGACCTGTTCCGGGTTGAACAGTGTCTAATTTATAGGCTGGATGAAGCAGCTTATGAAAACTTCCTCACTAAAGCTTTTGGTTTATTCATTATCACTTACAACTGATTGGCTCTTCTCAGTATGATAACAAGGCCATTTTTTGGAGTTGCCAGAAATGGGCTGATTGGAGCAATATTTAAATGGTAACCCCAGGGCAAACAAAAGACTGGGGACATTTGACTTCATTGCAAAATGCCTGGCTGAACAACTTTCCTCCATCTATGACGAGAGAAAAGCCAAGAGCACCTCAGGCAAGTTGCTGTTGCTGAACTTCATAAACTTGTTTTGTGTCTAAAGTGAGGGGAGAACACAAACACAAAGGGAAGAAATGACTCCTGCACAAAAGTTTGAGAGGGACTGGATTTCATTTCAGAGGGAAATCGAGGTAAAAAAACTGTTTCCCAAAGCTTGTCTTCATTCCATCCATATCCAGATCATCTGGACTTGCTTGTGAAAAAGACAGGAACTTCTCCAGGTCATTTAGATTGGGGTCTCCCCAATGCATTTTACAAAAACCAGCATTAGAGAGCAAGAGCTACATTAACATTCCTGAGACCTGCAGAGAGAAAAAGGGAAAACAAGTCATCAAAACTGTACTTTCTAGAACAGTTTAGAGCAACTTCATGAATTTTCTGTTGTATCGGCACACCACACTGATAAAGAAATGGGAGTCGTGGAGCAGGTAACACAATGCAGGTTGCTGCTGAAAAAGATCCTGGCCTTTTTATTCATGGAATAATCACACAGCATCAGTTGAGTGGGGAAGTAGGACAGAGAGAAAAAAATGAGGGTAAGACGAGACTAGAAAATGTGCTCTGACGTCTAGGGCTTCAGGGATCGTGAGTCTGGTCCCCAGGTATTTCTTTATCTATTTTTTAAAAAAATTGTTTTATATATATTTTACATCATTCTTCATTGTTATACAATGCATGCTTTCTCCTCTCAGGTGTAGTCCCTGTGAAATTCCCACCACCAATTCACCCGTGCACCATCACCGTAGTCCCTTGTGCTCTTCCCACCCTTATTTTGTGATTGAGATCACATCCTAGGTCCCCCCATCCCCACCATAGTTCCAATCTTATCAATAAGACTTCCCCCATCAGCTTCTGAGATGCCGAGTTCTACATCAATCAACAGCTCTGGGCATTCCCGTCATACCTCAGGATGTATCCATTACCCAGGGAGATCAGGCTTTCTGCCCTGGATTGATTTGAAGGCACCTTGTAAGGTTGGGCTACATTAAAAAAAATGCTGGCCAAGCAGAATGCTTAAGTCTAGCAGACCCACAATTTTCATCATTCAAGTGTCTTTTTCATACAGATAAGGATGATGTTGAGTGAAGGAACATCTCCCCCAGGGTGTCAAAAACCCAGACCAGCAGCAAGGCCCTCACCAGAAGCCAGAGACCAAGTTCTTTCAAAGATCCTGTGGGGTCTCCTGGGGTGAGTCCCCCACAGGGCCTGTTTATTTTCCCCTACAAACCTGCTTCATTCACTTCAGAATACATGTCACAAACCACGAGAGGATTTAGCACTAACTAGATGTGCTTATTGTGTAAAGCATTGGGGCTTACAGTCACAGTAATTCTTTTCAACCAAAAGTGGATCACACCATCTATCAAAGAACTTTTACATATTTGTAAATCTGTTTGATTAATTTGTTCACAAAATTGCATATGGTTACATAATCTATTATTTCAGCCTCATTATAAAATGAGATTATTTCTTGCCAACAAAGATATAATTTTTTTTATAACTGATGTCATTGTAGATAGATTTGAGATAGTTCAAAGACGGAACTGACACATTGATGAGTGACTGGGAAAGAGAGAGAAGTAAA